CCGATTCACTTCTTCAGTCCTACCATCACCACCCCTTTGTCCTTGGTCTTTATTCACACTCTCTCCTACTTCTTTATATTCTCTGTACTCTCTAAATCAAATACTTTTATAATAAAACTCGTTATGTGGCGAGTACCTTCCTTTTTGGGTTTGAATGTCAGAGGTCATATGTGTAGGCAGAAATGTAGAATATATTAACCCCACACCCTCTCCCTTAAACTCCTCTCAAATTGGCCTTTTCGATCCCTAACTCTTTGGAATATCCAAACCCTTCAGTAAGTGGGAGAATTGCGAATATCTTTAAGACTATGCACATCAAGACAGTATAGAAATAAGTGACTCACCTTTTGCAACGTTATTACAAATCCTGTTGATAGGTTATTACAAATCCGGTTAAGTACCGTAAAATTCCGAAAATAAGCCCCGGGGCTTATATTTTTCAAAGGCCCTTTTTGAGGGGCTTATTTTTGGAGGGGCTTATATACGGAGGGGCTTATCTACGGAGGGAAATTTGCCTTTCAAAATCGATTGGGCTAGCCCATAGTTGGAAAGAAATTTACCGTTTTTGCTTTGTTTTACTTGTATTGAGGGCAATTTTCCAAGTACAAGCCCCCGAGGGGCTTATATTTGGAGGGGTGATTTAACGGAGGGTTTTTTTGCGTTACGAGTTTGGGAGGCTTATATTTGGAAGGGCTTATACCTAGAGGGGCTTAGTTTCGGAATTTTACGGTATGTTGTTACAAATCTGGTTGAAAGTTAGTTACAAATCCGGTTAGTTATTTTATTACAGATTAGGTTAATTATTATTACAAATTCTGTTGTTACTACATATCACGTTGATTTTCAGTAAAAATCCGGTTGATATTACATATCCTGTTCTTTATTACAAATCAGGGTGATACAAAACCTACCTCTCAGGGCCCGTGCGGCAGAAAACCGACGGACCTCAGGAACGTGCTGCGCGCAAATCCACTAGCAGGACCCGGGGCACACTCATGTCCCATGTTTTAGTTTACTGTTTGGGCACGGATTGGCCCCATGAGCCATCTTCGGGCCCACCGCCACTAGTCTTCAATCTGAAGTCTTGGTCATCTTCTACTTTTCGAGGACAAACAACAACAACAACAACGTGATTAGAATCAGATTTCTTCCTGCAACATCATTGCTTGATAAAAAGTAGATGGTAACACAAGATGTAAATTGATAGGAATTCTCCCAACTACAATTACATTCGAACCTCCCCTAAGTGCATGACAACTCAAAATGCGACGTTTTAGTGGTCGCCTACGGGCGGGAGGTCGCTAACGAGAATTCAGCGACGAACAGGCAGTCCCGAGGAGAAGTTCCGACAAATCTACATTTTGGAAGAGAACATACTGCATTCAATTTCCAAGTTATATGTGAGTTTCATATCGTCACTGGACGTTTTTCATTTTCTCTGAGAGGCGTTGTACACACAGCGAACAAAGAGATCACACCGTGCGTCAAGTAGTCGCTTCCAAGAAGTTTGAAACAATGGAAAGTTAAACCGTCAGCCCAAAAAGTGGTCGTGGTCGCGGTCGCCTGCGCGTGGTGGTCGTTTTCGAAAGGGTCTAATTATAGGGCTTTGAATGAGAAAATTTTAGCGTTTTGAATAGGTGGTCCCTCAAGCAGGTGGTCGCTCTGTACTTTCTATCAAATATGTCGGCCGGTGTAAAGTATTATATAACGCGCTCAGGTAGTACATCAAAAAGGAATTAGAATATAAAGAAACCGGTTAAAACACTTAAAAAAGCTCAAAGTTGTCGCACATGACACTAACAGTATAATTCCTCTCGAATCAGCTTCCGTACACGCTCAGAGTACGTTTGGCCTTAAAAGAGCAACTCTTGGGGAAATTACCAGTTTACCTTTCCTGACTTCTTTACAGCATGTAAAATCTCTCAGCTGAAATTTCAGATGGATCAGTGCAACTGTTTTAGGGTTGTCCTTAAGTCGCTTTTTGCCGCCATTTTGAAAACATATCCGGATTTCAGATCGGTCACGTGATTTAACCGGTCATAGGTGTCTCATAGGTGTGGAACAAGCAAACGGATTGTTAGTAATTGCAAAAATGCACTAAACGTTTACTGTACATAGAATAGAGGAATAATGACACCATTGATCCACTGTTAAAAAAGGTCAGAAATATAAGCTTTTCGAGGATGGTTCCATTTTCTATACAAGGCAACGGCAGGGAAAACGTCATTTACGCAATCACCGTCCCATCGAACTTTCTCGAACTATAAAATTCTTATGAAGATTTGATATTCCTTTACGCGCAACCTTAAGCGATACCCGTCTGGCTAGAAATATTAACCGAAACCCGGAATTTCTACCCAAATGAGAGGTAACAAGCATTCCGGTCACTACATGGGATCCCCTTCCACGCCCCCACTCCTCCCCGGTATCGCAAATAAGGCTTTCGGTAACTTCAGCTGAGCACAGCAGCACGAACATTGTTTGAAAAGCTAGGAGGGCCAGTGCTGACAGCATTCACTGTGTTTGAAACAGAAGCATTTGAGTTCCAGGATGTAAAAGAAACTGACGTCAAGTCTGTCGTTAAGAGTTTAGCTGCCAACAAAGCACCTGGATATGATAAAATCTCTCATCACGAGTCCTGAAAGACAGTTGTGAGAGCATCGCACCTGTGATTTCTAGATTGGTGAACAATTCATTCAGTAAGGCGGCTGCTTTTCCTAAAGCATGGAAAGTTGCTGAGGTGATATCTGTACCCAAAGAAGGAAACTCAGAGGAACCAGCCAACAACTGGTTGATTTCATTGTTACCCATCCTATCGAAAGTAAGCGAGAGACTGACACACAAGCAGTTTGTGGAATTTTTGACAACGGATGACATACTGTCGACTCATCAAAGTGGCAACAGAAAAATGCATTCGACAGAAACTGCCCTCGTAAATGTTACAGATAACATTTTGAAAGCAATCGATGAAAAATCTGCCTCGATACTGGTACTGCTTGATATGTCAAAAGCTTTTGACAGCCTTAATCATAATCTATTGTTAGGAAAATTTCGAAAACTAGGTCTCAAAACTCAAAACTTCCGTAACTTCCTGGTTTAGTAGCTACCTATCAAGTAGATACCAAAGAGTACGATACGAGGATTCAGTCTCAGAATTGTTACCCGTAACAAATGGAGTACCTCAGGGTTCGATCTTGGGTCCTATGCTTTTTACTATTTACATTAATGATTTAATCAGTATTATTACCCATAGCCAACCCGCTGTATATGTTGATGACAGCCAATTGCACTTTAAATTTTCTGTAGCAGACGCAACAAGTGCTATGGCAGCCGTAAACCAAGATCTTAGGGACATCAGTAAATGGTGTGGAAAGAATTCTCTACTCATAAACCCAGAGAAGACAAAATTAGTGGTTGTTGGCTCAGCACAACTTATTAAGAGACTACCTCATATCTCCTTATCCCTGTTGGGCAAAACTATTTCACCAGTGTCAGTTGCTAAGGATCTCGGGGTATACATTGATCAATATCTTACCTACGATGTACATGTTATAAACACTCTCTGGCTGCATGAACCAGTTGGTACAGATAAATTAAACTTCTTTTGGATAGGAAAACCGTTTTATTACTTATAAATAGCTTCGTTTTCAGTAAACTTTTTTATTGTTCCTCAGTATGGGGGAACACATCTAAACGTAACCTACACAAACTGCAGTTGGTACAAAATTTTGCTGCCAGAGTTGTATTAGGTTTAAAGAAGTTTGACCGTATCCCCCAGGGACGGAGATCTCTTAAATGGTTAGATGTTACGGAGAAGGTTCTATTTAATGACTTAGTTTTAGTATTCAAATGTGTAAATGGCTTAGCTCCAGATTATTTAGGTAAATATTTTATTAAACGTTCAGCAGTTCACAACAAGAACACAAGGGGATGTAACAATTTTGTTGTCCCCCGTTGTAGACTATCAATGGGACAAAGGGCATTTTATTTTCGGCGTCTAAAGGAATGGAATGGGCTACCTGACAATATTAGGAACACTAAAGATATTGATAGTTTAAAGCGGAGACTTTTTAATAGGATATTTCATACGCAATAATCTTGAATATATTTTGAATAATTTTGAATGGATTTTGAATTTAATTGAACTACTGCAAATAAGTTTTCTTTTCTTTTCTTAATTACCAGTATTATGTAATAATTGACATTGTGACTGAAAAGCCCTGTTGAAGGGAGTCTCAATAAAGTATGTCTGTATTTATGTATGTCTGTTTAGAATGCGACTCGTCAATAAAATGTCCATGTTTGATCTAAGAGTATACGAAACATCCATGAGTTCCATGTTCCATTCTCTCAGCTCGTTCCGCCTCCCTGTCACTCAAACCCTAGACCTTTTTACCGATACGGCGGCCATATTGAATTTATTAGATTTAAGGAGTATTATGGGATGCCCAGGGGGCACTCGCTCAGTATTTACGCGCCCTTTTCGGGCAATTATTACATCCAAACACCACACAACGACCTTTTTTCCCATTACAATCTTTTTCTAGGAAAACTTAAAGAAAAATTGGCCCAAAAAGCGCGCAGAAGTACTGTTGCGAGTATATCGGATCGTGCTCAAATCCCCCCCCTGGACATCCCATAATACTTCTTAAATCCAATTAATTCAATGTGGCCGCCGCATCGGTAAAAAGGTCTATTGGGAAATATCACCCCGGGTGATGCTCATAAGGCTATCGGGACTTCAGGCATTCCAATATCTCGCAGGAAACTGTCAAAAACTTTCTTCGTTTTTCTCTTTTTTTGGCACGATTGGTGCATCAACATTCTCATGCAGTGCGTTTGTGTTAACTTCAACCATATAACCTGAGAGTTACGATCAACGACACTTTCCAAGTTTCTTTAAAAGATAGGCCAAGGGTGCCCGCAAGTGGTTTGTTGTGGTTTAATTGCGGTACCCTCCTCCAAACATTAGAAGAGAACATCATCAGTTCTTCAACAGCCTAGACAAAGACAGTCTCTTACGTCGCGATAAAGCACTATTGAGGTGTTTCTTAGTGTTGCGAAACTATTGTTGGTTCCCTTTTGTGATGTGGTGTTGGTTCTGTTCAATGTCTTTTCAATATTACGTCAATTGGTCACTGCACCCCACCGCAACACCACGTAACCATCCACGCCTGACGGCACATACGACACGTGTTCATTTTACACTGATCTCTTGGGATGGGTATTTCTGCTTTTGTTTAAACCAATCTCAAATTTGCTGTGGAAGACTTAAGCGCTTACCAAAATTCACAAATAGCTATACGGGCAAGCCAGTTTAAAGATGAAACTGAATATTAGTCTTTTCTTGAAATTATTACCAAAACCCATCACTGCAGTGCGTACCATTTAGGAATTAACTGATCTGGCTGGATAGCCAAAAGTCCTGATTGATAGTGGCATTCTCCTAACTATTGGACTGGTCTGGCCTGCCAGTTCTGACAAATATAAAGCACCGTTAGTTTAACGCATGACAATGTAGCTTACAAGAACGACATTTCGTAAATTCAGAATAACTTTATTGATCTCATAATCAAGTTTATTCAGCACCAGCAGTTAGCTCCCTCTCACGCTCCTTTTTGAGGAGACCCATGAAAGCCCTCTTCTCGGCCGGATGCTGGAAGCGACCATGACCAAACTTGGACGAAGTGTCGATGAACTTGAGTTCAATCTTCTCCTGGGCAACACGGCTTGTTTGAACAAGAAGTGACTGTAGAAGATAACATACAGTCAATTGTGAGGGCTTTAGATTTGTTGGACTTGATAAAATTGAACCAATAATGTAGAAATGTAGAAATACTAAGAACACCACAGTTTAAATACAAGCAAACATCATCCCAAAGATCACAAAATTAACTCAGTAATAACAATAATATTGTTCATTAATAATATTTGTCCGTTTCCAACTGATTCAAATCCCCTAAAAAAATCCAGGCTCCCTCGGATTCGTACCCTAACCTCCCCGATACCAGCGCACTGCTCTAACCAACTGAGCTAGCAAGCCACCTACACTGTATATTCATTTGGTTTGTAATAAAGATTACCTGGTGATAATGAATAATTTTTTATACGAATTTCAATAACTACAGGGTGAGAAGACTGCTTTGATGTTCTTTACATTTATTTCTTCATACTGCAGTTCCAATAAATGAAATTCATACATTCCTTGATAACAAAAATAATAATGATAATAATGCAAATTCTCATCAACAGGAAGACTGCATTAACAGTAAGGTTCTTAACTTAAGAATACAAGGCTTGTCAATATCTACAATAATAACTGAACCATTACCTTGCGAAGAGTCAGTACGCGCTTCACTTTGCCCACAGTACAACCCTTGAGCATGACAAAGTCTTCATTTACTTCACCATAGTGAGGGAAGGAACCCTAAAAATTAAAGTAAATAAGCGATTATTGAGTTCAACACATGATCTGAATTAAAAAAAAAAAAAGCCTGACGGACCACCTTAAAAAATGCTCACTTCACCCAAATCTGCATGAGGACAGGAATGCTCTGCAAGGTTTGCTAATTTTTGTGAGACAACCTGTCTCCACTATAATATGCTGCATGAATCTTACCAAGGCATCCTACACAGTAGATCTGTCAACCGTAAGTTTACAAAAATAATATCAAAACTCACCATTGGAGTAATGGACTTGTCTGTTAGATCATACTCTGTGCTGGCATTGTTCTTGATAACTTTGCCATCTTTGGTATGGATGCCACGACCAATGCGGTAGATTTTCTTGTTGATTTCAGTGCGGTGGTGATATCCAAACTGACCAGCACGGGCAACAGAATATGAAACGCGAGCAGGATGCCACGCACCAATACAAGCAACCTTGCGCAGACCCTTGTGGGTCTTGCGTGGCAGCTTCTTGGTACCCCAACGGTATGTCACACCCTTGAACCCATGACCCTTAGATACACCAATCACATCAATCATCTCATCCTTTGCAAAGACCTTGCGCACAGGTGCAGGGTTTTCAAGGCGCTCACGAGCCCAGTCAACTTTTTCTGCAACATCCTTGCCACCATTGACTTGAATCTCCTTTATGATGGCCTTCTTCTGACCAAGTTTCACAAGTTTTTGCTGTAAATAGGAAAAAAAATATTATCATGCTAATAGAGACCTCAGGTATTTATTGCAGCTTTTAATACCTTGCTCAAGCGTAGAGCAATGAACAAGATAGACTAAAAAAGGAAGTTCCTCAACCACTGCATACCCTATTGGTACTTAAACCCACAAATAAAAATCCTTGTGAAATTTAAACATGCAAAAATCAAGGAGCCTAAAATTTAAATTAAATAAAAAACATAACATACATGTATACAGGATAGATAATAACTATTGACTGGTACATGAATTACTGATGAGTTCCATTTTTTATCTTCTTTTGTAGAAAAAGGTTAATGTGCAAAAATTTCACAAAAGGAGTGGACAATGTAGCCTTCATCTGGCTGTTTCAGTTTATCCACAAATATTCCAAATACGGTCACTTCATTATTATGGCCACTTTATTTTGGCCATCTGGCAAAATGGCTATACATTTAATATGGCCAATATTTTTTGGCCAATTGGTGACCGTATAAATGGGGTTCCACTGAAAAAAGAAGTTGAAAACGCTTGAATCGAGAAATGTATTGCTCTTTTTTCATATCTGCCAATTTACATTGCGAAAATAAAGCCACGCAAAATACTGACCCTCCAAAATTGCGGAATTATCAATTAGAAGTTAAAATTAAGTACTAATAAGGTTTTAACAACCACATTTTCTACAGAGATCACTGACATCAAGGCTAAGAAGAGATCACTAAGGCAGGGTTAACTTGTCAACAATGCGATCGCCTAAACAGTTCGGGAGTATGCCAGTTTTGGAAGAAGCGATGACGTCATGATTCCATTGTTCTGCTAAAAATACGCAAAAATGGGAAAAAATAATTGCCACAAACAAGGGAGCTTTTTTTAAAGCCTGTTCCAGGTCCACTCGTTCAATATCTGGGACTTCCGAGCTAGCAGTGCTGATGAAGAAGCCTTTTCCTTGCTTTTTGAATGTCAAGAGCAGTTTCGTGCCGCATTACGGTAGTTAAAATCGACAGTTATCGAACAGCGTTCGAAGACGTCGCCGCCACTGACGGGCATCGAATGTAAGTACATGTCTTTATGTTTAGTTTTCAGTATCTTGCCGAATTTTTACGAAATCAAGACTAATTTTCCTCAAAACTACAACGTGTAAGGTGTGTTCAGGCAAAGTTTCATCGATGGTAACAACCTAGTAAAAATGGTAACCACACATTGAAAATTGCCAACGGACAGGAAGGGTTACTATATTGATGGTTATGCCTTAGTCTGTCTATGTATTTTTAGTTATAAGCGATCAAGTCTGTCTTTGGTTGTGTTCACCGGCAATGTATGCGACTCTCAGCTAGAAATCACTTTATTGATCCAGATCATGTGTATGGAATGAGTGTGAGTAGGTTCTTATATTGATTTCTTATATTTTGATGAGGATGTCCGTCCAAAATGTAGACAAACATCTGGACATATTACAAACATGTTGTCGCGTTTGTGCCAAAAAGATGGGAAAAGGAACGAGGAAGACAAATGTTAAATATCTTCAGAACGACATATTTGTGTTCTGAGGGCAAAATGTTGCTTTAGATTCGTCTCATGTTACTCTGCAATAAAAAATTTAATGTCCAAATTCAACCCTTCTTCAGTAAAATCAAACATGTGTTTTTGTTTCTTTGTAGTGTGGTCACAGGCTTACCTACCACCACAAAAGCCCCTCCTCCCTCTCAAAAATGGGTAAGAGGGAAACAGGTTGGACCGGGGGCTTATATACCTTGTGAGTGGAAGCTCACACTCAATGACCATTCAACCCTAGAAGAGACTGTGGCCCTTATTCAAGGGGCTTTAAAGGAGATAGATGAGCAAGGAGTCATGGAAGTGGAGACTTGTGAAGATTTTCTTCACATAATGTTCAATCCCTTGCGTCAAATATTGTTTATACTTTACAAATGCCAAATACATAATATGTTCAGTCCCTGTGCTGTGCAAAGGTCAATCTGAAACAGCAAAAATGCCACACTCTCCCCCATCAATACCTTTGCATGAGCAATAAGCCCACATTTCATGTCATAATATTGAATATGTTTGTATTTGAATAAATCCTAAATTATTGAGATTCTCTCGATGAAAAAGTATTTATATTAATGTATCCCTCCCTAATAAATAATACATGAGAGACATATTGAAAACCTATGTCAGCTGCTACTGTCTTCATTATATCAATTAAGCTTTGGTTTTTGGTTTTCATGTCCAAGAAGGTGTTAAAAAACAAGATTTTGAGATATAAGAGTGTGTATAATATGCGAGCCAGCGAGCCGTGGCAGCGAGTCATGCAGGTCAGATACGACTCATTGAAAAGAATACATAAAAATCGAAAACAGTAATACCGAAAGAATTAACTAAAAGCTAACCATGGTAAATAAGTGTTTAACCCTAAACAGCACTTAATCATAACCCTAACCCCAACCTAAACCCTAATCAGTAAAAAGAATGCTTAACTGTAATCTGTAAAATTTGCAGTTTTTACTTGTTTTTACTTTATTTTTGCTGATGGTCTGCGTGACTTGCATAGCTCTCTTGCTCGTAGTTTATGTCAGGACCAGAAATAAAATGTTTATTTACAAAAAACAAAATGTAACAATAAAATTAATAACTTTTATAATTGTATCTTTACTCTGATGTGTGAGCTTTGTTTTCTTGAAAGTGCTGTTCAATAGAAACATGGAGAACTATGAAAAAGAACTTTGGAAAACTTATGTTGTGTCCATGCCAAGTGCAGCAATCATTATTATTTTGGGCCAAACCTTGTCTAATAGAATTGTTTGAGGGTCCCCACAGAGAAGACTTGGAGAAAAGTGCTCCTCAAAGTTACCATGCCTTTGGTTGAAGGCAACCCCAGAGTTAAAAACAATAATTTAGTATTATTCGGATATACATCAAATCCCATATAAGAGGGTATTTTATAACAACCCATAACCCTGTTGATCTCTGACCTCTGGTCAAATCCGGTGGACTATAAGACTAAAGTATCCCATTTCAATCAATATATCCAAAAACATGTAAGAGGCATTCTTAGTTTTCCAATATGTATATTAAATTCTAAAGAGTCTCTTGCACTTGTTAAGCTTGAGCAAATAATCAGTGAACTTCAGACAGTGGAATAATTGAAAGCAATAGGTTTTTTGGAAGCGGGACAAAGAAAAAATGATCACGGATGATATTAAAGCAAGATTTTCACTTTGTGGGTTTTCAAGAAGAAAACGCGAACACAATACAAATCAGAAATCCTTTGTAAACCTGTTGTATACCTGGACGGAACCGCTTCAGGACATACACCAACAGAACATCATATTCGAAAAAACAGATATTTTACTCACAAATGACTCGCTTGCACCAAAACAATAACCTGAATTACAGCTGTCTTCTCTGGCCAGTCGCTCACTCCCGAGAGAGAGAAACAGAAACAACAGGGAAAAATTATAGTAAAACTTACTCTTTGCAAACATAAGGAAATAAATTATAGAACAACTCACTTTTTTAGTTGTTTCCAAAGCATTCTTTTTCTTATAATATAAAAATTAATGAAAGAAATAGGCACAAACTTGTTGCGTGCTTACCTATTTTCGATGTACTGATTACATACGCAGTGAGTAATGGTGCCTACAAAGCGCAATAAGCGAAGAACTATAGCGCAAGAATGGTTACTCCTTGTCCTCAAGGTACTTCCCAATTCATAGTAAGGAGAAGACAAATTAAAAAGCTCGATGAAACAAGAATAAACGAGAATTTCTGTCAATACTCTTTCCTCTCCCTTGTCCGCCATTTTGTATGTTTTGAAAATGACCATCGCCATGGTGATCATGTTATGGTTGGTGACGTAGACCATTGTTTTCGCTTCTTCCAAAACTGGCATACTCCCGAACTGCTAAACCTGGCACCCTCACCTGAATGTTCCCATGGGGTACTTACAGAGCCCTGTGGAGAGGCTGCCTGTGGATATCTATAAGTATGTGGACTGTTAATCTTACAAGTAGATTCCTATCTTTAACAGAAACATGACTTTTGTCATGTCTTACCTGTGTGTGGCAAATGACACGGATAACCTTGCAGTACTTCTTCATTGTGTTGAAGTCATTCTCAATTTGTCTCTTGCCATCCTCATCTGCCCATCGCTTGGAAGCTTTAGAGAAGGCCTTCTTCTTAGACTTGCACCTTTATGTACAAACCAGCATTTGCATGGTTGATGAAACAGAAGAGAGAATAGGGGAGCCAGTTCTCATCGGCAAGGACAAGCCGAGCGGAGAATAGGCACTATCACGTGGGCAACACTGGTTAGAACTGCACCACACAACACATCAATGACAAAAAGGTAATAAGAGGTGTAATTTGAACAATACTTTACTGCCAGTTTAACATATTTTACTGAAAAGCAGTTTCTTAGTGATACACAGATTCTGTAACTAAAAAAAGTCATCTTAATTCTTAAAAGAATACTCTTGCAAGCCTCAATGACTAAGCCCTGTCACAACTGGATTGCGACTCAATATAACCTCTTTAACAGAACTTTTCCATAGCACTCAAAACACATTCCAACAATACTTAATTTTTTCTCTGGCCACGAATAGGAGTGAAAGGGCTCAATTTATAGGAGGATTTACCACTTTTTTCTGATTCCACACTCTGATTCCACAGCAAAGTGTGGTACAATAATTTACCTACATGTAAGAATCTGACCTTGATTTTATTGAAACATTGATTCGTTTGCAGCTGTAATTCTGTTAAAATGGAATTAAGGGAAAATAGGTTTAAATAACAAATCAAAACATACCAGTTTTTGTAAAAGCGGCGCTTGCACTCTTCACTAAGATGTTCAGCCCAGACAGTCTTGAGGACACGTAGGCCTCGTGGGGTTTCAATATACCCCACAACACCAACAACCATCATAGGTGGTGTTTCAACGATTGTTACAGCTTCCACCACTTCCTTTTTGTGAATCTCTGTTGAGCAAGAGGTAATCAAATTTTAATTTCTTGTTTGCTTACTCCTTTTGTCCTTAGCTATGTTAAGTGATTTGCTATCAAAACCAATTTGGGACACATCAATAAAACATTCTTTTCAACATTACAATCCAACTTTTTAAATAGTTTGGTCATCACTTGTGGAATGTCATTCTGTCCTCTACACAGATTAATGTTATTTCAGTGAAAGGGTATTTGTATATAAATAGGTCAATGGTTGGGGAATTATTCCATTTCAAAATGCACTGTAGTACTTGATGAGAATAACTGGGTCACTCGTTAACCAAGACTTGGTAACCAAGTCTGAACTTCAATTGACCACTCCAGAAAATACCATAACATACCACAACGCTCTTTGTTTGTCACCCCAAAATTTTGCATAAGCATTGTCTTCTGTTTCTCTTGGGAGTTAAAATGGCCCCAAGAGAAACTGAAAACAATGCTTATACAAAATTTTGGGGCGCAGTATGGTATGTTATAGTATTTTCTGGAGTGGTCAATTAAAATGACAGCCTGTTCTCTATCACACTATGAAGTGCAACTTTCGCTCATTTGCAAAGCTTTCTAAATTCACTTGGTGCTATACAGTGTTGTTCCAAGGAACTCATAGTTAGACATGAGCCCATAAAGATCAACACAATCTATTTAGCTGATACATACTTGATCCTGGTTTTTCGACTTCTCTCACAATGTGGGTCATACCAGCCTTAAAACCCACAAATGCAGTCAAATGAGGAGGAAGAGTTGGGTCATCTTTGGGGAAGGATTTTATTCTGCCATTGTGGTGCTTGCACCTCTTACGGGGCAAGAAACCCAGAGAGCCGTGTCGTGGTGCTCTGTACTTTCTATGAGACTAAAAAGAAAAAACGCCTTTCATTTTAAAAATATTCTTAAAATCAATTGCACAACAGTCACACCTTCTGTAAAGGGACATAAAAGAACTTAAAATTCCGATAGCTGTCAAATACATAGCTAAAGAAAAGCAGCATTATAGTTGACAATTTCGATGCCTGTCAGCCATCTTTTTCAATACTGAATTTCTTTGACTGCGTTTAAAGACCTCTCTTAATATATTTATTTGATAGTCTGAAAAGACAGCCAACGTTTTGCAATGCTACTTCTGGTTTCCCCATGAAAAGATATCGGAGAAATGAGCACAGAAATTCTACTTTTTACTGATGATGCACAACTACTCTGATCTGTAATTGTGGGTAGTACTTCTGATTCGATGAAGCACACTTTCGACCAAATGAGAAGCACTACCCAGATCTGGGTAGTGACATGTCATCTATATGGAATTTCCGCAGATTTTTATCAGATGTCACTTTGCAGCCACGGGTCTTGAATTGTCAACCATTTTCCCAGGCTATATATTTGATCTTATGCTCGAGCCAAATTAATTTCTTCGATAATATCATAGGTGACGAATTACTCCTTAATTTTGGCGCGAAATTTCAGCGATAATTTGTAATTTCACATGTGAAATTACAAAATTGCCATGGCAACCTTCCATACGTCTCGGTGACAAGATGGCGACGATGTTTTAAAATGTCATGAATGAAGATGCCAGGGCATATAAAGACGCTTTAAAAAACCTGAACTCACCAAAGTGCACATGAAGAAGGATTCCAACAGGTATTTTGTAGAAAAATTCTAAACTTGAGTCAAATTTTAATAAGCTCTAAACCTTCGAGAGAGTGGAGTTCTCGATCGATACGATGCAGGATAAACATGTCAAAAATCCAAGATTGCTAATGTAATTCGTCACACATGATATTAATAGCTAATCAAATGGTATACTCATGAAATTAGGGAATAATTTCCTTAAAGGCTCAGGAAATTATTAGGATTTGGACAAAACGTGCATGGAATTATTCCCTAATTTCACTCGTCACCATTTGATTACACATACGAAGAGAGTATGAGTACTCATACTTTCTTACTCATCTCAAGAACAAAACAAACCAAAATCTGAGACCCCTTTACAATTCTTTAGAACTCCTTCACATGGGGAAGTAGGGATAAACTGTACATCTTGGAACGCAGCATGGTCAACGCGAAACATAAGCTTATTTACTTAAAGGACGTAAAGACATTTTATGCTCAGAAAAACCTGGAAAGTATTCCGATGAAATACTGAAAATTCAGGAGAAAGTAATGGAATGGAAGCAACAGGGTCGTCAGTATAAAAGCACTTCGTCCGCGTGTACACTGATACTAGAATTTCAGTTAATTCATTACCAACTCAACAAAAAACGCAAAAAAATGACAGCGCCGTACAAGAAATTCAAGAAATAAAATTAAAAGCTCGAGGAAAAAGTAACCCTAACTGGCATCTTGCAACACGACATAAGAAAACGTCTCTGAAGTTGAGGAGTTTGCTTTGATATTCAAATTAACAAAATTTTCGCAAAAAATATAAGATATCCTATTTTTCTACGCTTTTATTTAAAACGGATGGATCAAAATTTAAGGGATGGAACCAAGTTTAATCGTTACATTTTTGAAAGAACCCACCATTTCTCTGAGCACGGGGAAAGAGGACGATGTCACGTGACTTACGAATTTACGGGTGATTAGCTTTAGAGGGGGGATGCCAATGCTCAGGTATCATTAGACCCCCTTTTACTCTACGTAACTTGCAATCAGCGGTTGATGCAAATAAGTAGATGATATATGATAAACAAAATGTACCGAATCCAAAATTGTTAGTATTTCTGTCATATTTGAATAATCTTCTTATTTACGGGACACGTCTATTTGTCAATAAAAGTATAATATTTTTAAGATAGCGCATAATTAAAAAAATACAGTTTTAAGAGGCCTATGAAATCCTTTGTGTTATGATTTCGGGACATTAAACCATGCCTTATACGACGTAATACTCCATCCATCGTTCGAGCGTGCCTTGAAGTGTGCCTCGACTCTTGTGTGCCTCTGTACAAATTCACGGGAAGCGAAAAGTCAGTTTGCTTCTCGGGAAAGAAGGTATTGTAATTAATTTATAGTCTTTTCTTAAGAAGTGTGACATTTTGGCCTGTTTGCTATGTAAAATGAAAGCATAGCTAACGCGTGGATGCGATATTTCCTGTCAATATCATTGACTTACAGCATATTAGCTTATGATATTTGAAGCTCACGCTTGTAACGTAAGAGGAGTCAGGGTTAGGGTACAAAAAACGGTAAGATTTCCGTATAATCCCATACATTTATTGTGTATACATGTTTCAACTCTATTCATATTAAACTATTTGGGAGAAAAAGTAAGAAATTACTGGATGCATAATAAATAAATGGGGTCATTCGCCATTTTCACTTAGACCATAATGCATCTTGTTTACCCCCCAAAATTTTGCTTTACCATTGTTTCCAACTTCTTCTGGGTATTACAGGCGTCCCAAAAGAAATCAAAGACAATAGTTATGCAAAATGTTGTGGGTAAACAAGGTGCAGTATGGCAGTGCTCGAAGCTAACGGTCGTTCACTCGTCTAAAACGAGTAAAATTAGCCAACAATTGAGTAGAATTAAAAAAAGGAAAGATGAAGAAAACGCTAATACAGGTGATTCCCAGCCAACAAGAGTGAAAAAGGCAAAGAAGGATAGAGACTTCAAACCAGCATGGAAAAGGATTTTGCATGGTTTATAGTTTACAATGAAACCGAAGGGAAAAATGTTTTGCCAGTATTGTGTAAATTTTCCAAACAGTAAAAACGAAAATTCGTCTTTCCGCAAAGGAAGCAAAAAATAATTTCTCATAGCCAAAGAAACTCAAGATAAAAGATTATACTTTTCATTAGTGTTTATTATTATAATTTAAAAAGTGAGTCATGCTTTACCATGATTTTTTAATGTGTGAATTGCATGTTTGTGACCAGATGATGGATGGTAGACAGGACTAGTATAATTGCCTTCAGGACTAGTAGATGCCACCCACTACTAGTCCCAGGACAATTGACTAAAAAAGTTCGTTTCGAGCACTGTATGGTCTATGTGAAAATGGTGAATACAGACATCTTACCCAAAAGTTTAAATTTTGAATAAACGCAATTAAGAATATGGCCAAGAAAGACTTCCACCAAGACCAATACATATTGATTACGTATACAATTTCTGACTCCTGTAAGCTTATGTATTTGAGGAATTGGAGGGAAGGTGTATGAATATAATCTATATTTGTGGAGTGTATTTTTGGAAATGTCATGGGGTTGTAGAGATGTTGTGAGGAATAGATAATTCTAAGTGTCATTATCACTGTTAATTACTTCGATGTCCTGTTATTTCACAACAAAGTCTTTTTTGCCACTTCCCTCAGAGTAGAGCTAACTTTTCTGTAGCATGGTATGAACTATGGTGTGAAAAAGTAGCCTCCACCGACAACCATATCATTTTCTATCATGCATGCATGAGTCTCCATATGTGATTCTTAAGCAAAAATGGCATGTATTACAAGGTGCATTTTGTCTAGTTCATACTTAGTCCAATTTGTGTCAATTCCTTCTGACACAAGTAGCTGTGAATGCAGATAGAGTTTTCAACTGCCTGAGAATAAATTGCGACAATATATTGACCTAAAATAGTTTCAAATTCTTCTTAGGGGTAGAAATGAAGCCACATTTTATGTTGTTGTGATAGGTCATGAAAAAAATTTGAATTTCACAGGCCTTAAAAAGTGTACAGACCAGGTTAACTCAACACAATAGCAGATCAAGGTTATTCAAGTTTATGCATTTGCCAAACCTATAGAAGGCAGTAATTTTTTATTTGAAGACCCACAAAGACCCATATTTCACCCTTGCTCACCACCGAGTCTTCAGTAGCTTAGTGATTAGAGCATCTGACTAGATCACAGAGGGTCGTGGGTATGAATCCCATCTGGGGCTTGGATTTTTTTCCAAGTTTCCATTTGATGCAAAAAACGTATCATGTGGTTGTACTTCTACAAATGTACACAAGACTCACTTGGTGGTTGGATGGTTGCATCTATGCCTAAATGTGGCCTCGTAATGCAGTTATGAGTTATACGTGCTTTTCCTGGTTTGACTATGTGACTGCGTGATGCCATTCTTGTCAAAGACCCACATTTCACCCTTGCTAGATCAAGAAGGGTCGTGGGTTTGAATCCCATCTGGGACTCAGACTTTTTTGTGAGTTTCCATTTGATGCAGAAATGTATCATGTTGTTGTATGGTTGCATCTCTGATATCAGGGCTGTCATTAAGAGCTAGGAGCCAGGGATTTTCCCCAGCTGCTATGAATGTGACTCCCGGCTGCTTTTATTGGAAAACAGATGAAAAATAGAATCAAAAATTTTAAAACTTTAGCTGTTTGATACCCTGCCTACTTATTGTATTTACTCAGCAACTTGAATCTTAGTGACAACCCTGGATATGCCTTAATGTGACTGCATGATGCAGTTAGGAGTCATGCGTGCTTGTCCTGATTTGACTATGTGACTGCCTGACACAGTTCTAGTCAAAGACGCACATTTCACCCTTGCTCACCACCGAGTCTCCAGTAGCTCAGTGGTTAGAGCATCCAACCAGATCAGGGAGGGTGGTGGGTTCGAATCCCATCTGGGGCTCATTTTTTTTCAGAGTTTCCATCTGATGCAAAAACACGTCACGTCATTGTACTTCTACAAAAGACTCTCTTGGTGGAAACCAGTTATTTCTATTTATTTCCCCTTATTTCTGGATGGGAATGTATGGTTGTCAACAGGGGTTACTTTTTTGTATACCAGTATGTAATCTGAAAAAGTAGCTTTATCCTTTCATCAGACCAGATCCCTTAATGTCTTTTTGTTAAGCATGCCTAATTTTTCTATCTAGCTTTTTAAATTCTTCCTCTTTTTGTTTTATTTTTCAAGACAGTTTGACTGCAGTTACTATTAGGTATATGCACTTGTGTTGAAAATTCATACTATTTTAGCATAATGGGTACTTACTTATTTGAGGCGTGGCATTTATATGCAACGTGAAAAACAAGACTCTCCTTGCTGTCTTTAACATGTGTCAAACCATGTTATAACAGACATCTGTACCAGACGTATTCTGACTGATGAACAAATAAGCTTGTGCCTAAAGTAATAGCACTATAGGGCAAAACTCCCAACACAAACTATGATCTGCAAAGGTCAACAAACAGAGCAACAGTGAATACAATCACGTGATATAAATACAGTGTAGCAGCCCTTTCAGCCATGACAGGCCTCCCCACCAGAGAACACCTGCTCTTACAAGACTGCACTTCTGTCTCAGATGCCTCGATTTTAACCTTGCTTAAAATATTTGTTTTAATCTGTAAGTTTCTAGTGGTGTTTGAGGGGAGGGGGAAAGGCTTGTTTAATATTATTATTATTACTGCAGTGACAACCCTTCACACACCTCTCTTTACCAAGTTGCAATGTTTTGCCCCTAGTGATCCCAGGATCTTGTGTGCATAATGTAGGTCTGTTGCTTACTCTCCATTATTTCCTGGCTGATCTAATACCTAAAAAGTATTATTATAATTATTGTAATAGTTATCATTATTTATTTCTGTACAGAGATTTCCAAATGTCTGCAAAGTTTCAAACCAGGTATGATGAAAGAATCAAAGCCCCATCATTTGAAGAAATTGACCGAAAGGATCCTGTGGCATTTAAAGCAGCAAGAGATCGTTGGAATCTGGAGAGGTTAATTGAGTTGGAAATAGTGAAAATATACCGAGACAGAGTCACAGAGTGTCACAGAAGAGAAGAAGTTAATGCAAGACAGAACTGCAGAAAAGTTGTTAGTGACTACATGAAAGCCTTCAATGAATACAAGAGGAAAGGTATGTGAACAGATCAAGAGGTTCAGTTGCATGCTTTCTCTAAAGTAAATAGTATGTAAAATCCATGGATAGAAAATATTGTAAATAACTATTTTATCTGACAATAAAAAAATTATTGGCTGCTTTTATATTTCAAGGATTAATAAACTTCATTTGCTGATGGAAAAAAAAAATCCGATTTGGTTTTTCATTTCCCACCTATAGAACTTGACGTTATGAAAATGTTCTGACAGCTTGATTAATTGCAGAAAATGTTGCTGTCCTTCCATGAACAGTGAACATTATTTTACACTACACTTGAGCTCACAAGCAGAGACATTTACAGTGTAAAGTTATGTAAGGGATATAGAATGAAAAATTTGAGACTTCATGAGACTGTGAGACCCTGGTTTCAAAATTCGAGACCGAGACTTAAGTGCTTTTATCAATTTTGAACCTGAGACTTTACTTCTAAAAAATCCGAGCCCCAGACTCAAAGCGCCAAAAATTTCGAGATAATAGTACAAATAAAGCAAAATAAAATGACCAAAAATGCCAGTGGAAGCTAGCAGAAACCCACCAATACAGGTGTATACTCCTTTGTCTTGTTTTACTGTCTTTAAATCTAATAACTAGCTCAGTCCAATAAGCTGTACCCATGAGCTCTGAACAAATCGACTCCTGAAGACCCTCACGAAAAGAAAAAATGACAAATCCGAGACTCCAAAACCCATAAGCAAAAAAAACAAAAAAGGAAAGACTCTGAGATGCAAAAATCACCTGAAAAAGAGACTTTGAAACCCATCAAGAACGCTTTTGAGATTTCGAGACTGGGCCAAATTTTCTGAGACCCACGTTTTTCAAGGTACCATTCGATACCATTAATATACATTTGATTGGTTTATCCTGATTGTGTGTTATGTTTACTCTTCATTTCCCAGCATGGTTTTGCACAGAAGAGGGAACCTGGGCACGATGGAAAGTGGAGTATGATTAGCTGATGCAAAATAATCAAGGATCTTTCCAGGAGCTGTTCTGTATTAACCTGTCTGTGGATGTTTACTTCATTGCCACCTTTGGGACCTTTGAGACTGTTTAAAAATGACCTTCGTCCATTGATGTATGACATTGATTAGCTTTTATGGGTTCTATCTATGTTTGGTGCAATAAATTACATTAATGTCATTAAATCCATATTTTTACTAAAAAGAAAAATGTCAATTTTAACTTGTTAAACTTGTACTCATGTCTTGGTTTCTAGGGTTCAGTTTGCATGGGTGTGACATGGAGAAGATAATAATTAGCATTGTTAAAATTTGTAAATTAATGAATTTCAGAAGCAGATTGTAATAGTAGATGTCCTGTTGTACTACATTGTAGTTTTTGCTGTCAGTACTACTTGTAATAATGTGGAAGTCTGTGTGGAATTTTATACCTTTAATTTTTGAAACTACATTATATAGACATAGATAACTGACTTCAAGGAGAGTCCAGTCTGACCAGCCTTGTGGAAAGTTTTCAAGACGTTGGAATGATTTGCTTTAAAAATTGCAGCTTTCAAATCTCAGTATCTTTGGTCAAAAGTGCTTTGGAGTTCCCAAGTGACTTGGAAACACTTTGCTTGAAGAAATCTGTATTCTCTCAACGAGCAGTCTGTTAAAAACATTCCAGCTTAACAGATTTATTAGAGCCAGGACAAAATTAGGATAATCATAGTTGTTTTAATCTATGTTCTTAACTCTGTGTATTATGTTTAAGTCTGCAAACTATTGATGAAAAGGAAGCTACTCTTGCATGGTATGTCTTGTTTAAGGTAAAAGGACAAATGGTAATAGCCGTCTTGTAAAAGTGCTTGATTGCTTATCAAATTGCAAGGCTAATTGTAAGTGGAAGAAGTTTGTGGTTCTCAATCCTCCTTGATGGGATGACAGTCAAATTCATCCCATCGCATAACTTGACCATCATCACCACAAATGACTCCATATCTGCAGCCATTGCTGTCAGAACCTTCAAAGATGCTTCCTTGAGGATGCCACTTTTTTTTGTAGTAACATCCTTTATCATCCTTGGTGGTGGATTCTGGGTTTTCATCTGTGTCTTCGCAGTTCCAGTCATCCCAGGCCACAATCTTTCCTTTGGCATCGCAAGATATTCCATGGCACCAGCCCTCTCCATTAGATGCACGGCTAATCTCACTGCCTGGTTCATACCATGCACCGTTTTGAAAACACCCAAGTGGAGGAGGTACTGTGGTGGATGAAGGTGTAGGAGAGGTTGTGGGGTTGGGGGTTGATGTTGGTACAGGGATGGGGCTGGAGCAAACAGGACCTGTAGTAGCTGTTTTGCAATTCCAGTCATCCCATGCTATCAAATTGCCATCATGTGAACAATAAGTGCCATAACACCACCCATTTCCATCTGATCCTCTGCTAACCTCACTGCCTGCTGGGTACCATTTGCCATCCAAGCCATTGCAACCAACTTCTGTGGGTATTTCAGAATTAGGCAGAGGTGGTTGGGTATTCTGTGGAACCTTGGTCACAGGCACCCCATTGACAAACCAAGGAATAATGATAACAACTGCCAATGGTAACATTCCTGCTGTTTGGTGCAATAATCTGTAAACATAACACAATGACTAAAAGTTGTTGCAGAAAGGATTTGAATTCGAACCTTTTCAGAGTCAAATTCCTGTTAATCATCCAGACTCGACAGAATTAGCCCAGAGAAAGTGGACGGTGGAATATATTTTATATAGTCTAAATTTTCCTGGATTTACAGAATTCCTCAAAACTGGTAAAAGCACATCAATTTTCCGTTCAAAAAAACTTTATGCCTTATCCATAGGCATAAAGGGCCTCACCATTTTTTTTTAACTGGGGAGGAAGAGGGAAAGAGGATTCCTCGGCCTCGCACATCCCCGCTGTTTTTCCTACCCACATCTCTTTCATTGAGCCGTCCCCAGACATGCATCTGAACGCGTGGAACATACTAAAAACGGGTGTAATTGCGAAGTGTTTGATGAAAATGATTGTCTACTAGTTCATGCAAATGAGGCCAATTTCGGTAACTTAAAAGTCGTACTTGGTTCCAAGGCTTGGGGGAATAAACATAAGTAATGCATTGTTCATTACTGAGGCTCAAGATGATTTCTTTTGTTTTATTCCCCAAACCTCAGAGCCAAGTATGAATTATTGGTATGTTTTCACTTGACCTCATTTTAGAAGGCTTAAAACAAAAAATCCTCATATAACATACGTAATAAGTTGTGAAGAAAAGAAATATCAACATGCACGGGAAGTTCGATAAATATCTCGCACATTTCCGGAATTTTGATCCTTTCTGACTGACATGTTCAGAATGTCAAAATTATGCAGAGCAGTCTTTCTCGAAAAATCGTCTATGATTTGTGGCAACACACAAATCCAACAGAGAACGGTTTTTCTTTTATTTCCTTGATTTCATTCACATCTTGACACATCCCTTTTTTGAGTTTTCTCCAACCAAGTTAGGCATCCTTAAATAAAACTCTGACATCGCAGTATGAACCAAACAGGAAATTGGCTGTGTTTAGTGAGAAAAGACTGATAAAAGTTACCGTTTTTTCACTTTTATGCTATCATACTTGTATAAGACTAAAGACCCCAAAGACCAAAAAGGCATAATGGCTAATATTATAGCTTCATTTGAATTGTTGCAGCTACACCTGCACTGACCGGCAAAAAAATCTGCCCCAGCTGAATTGCGTTATCGACTGCAGCAGTGCAGATAAAGAGTTATCCTTGATGATCGGTACACTGACCCAGGAGCACAAGATTGAGACAATTCGTAAACGCAAAAGTTGGAACTCGGAAGTTTCAAGGTGCTCGGGACTTAAATGGACAGGGGCCTATCCTTTGAGAGGCTACCTTAAAACACCAAATCTACGTCACTGTAAGGATCAATAAACCTGTACTTTTTAACAAACAATTAAAATTGCGTACTTCATGAACGCCCATGTTAAGATAAGATAATAAAATTTAAACCACATATGATGTCATTTTTCTTTCAGTCCTGGGAGTTAAAAGATTTAGGAACCTAAACGTGTGGTTAAACTAATTTGATTCCCTGAAGTGACTCCCCCCACCCCCCCCGGTTTATGGTCCTTCGATATTCTCCAAATAATCTGTGAATCTCTGGTTCTTTCACCCGACTTTGAGGCATTGTTCTCGAGGATTCGCCATTTGCACATTTCCCATAATACACCTTGTTTACCCCCCAAAATTTTGCGAAAGCATTGTCTTCAATTTCTCTTGGGATGAGTGTAATACCCGAAAAAAGGAAAAACAAAGGGTATGCAAAGTTTTGGGGTCAAACAAAAAGTGTCTTATGGGAGATGCGCAAATGGAATGGAACAAACGGAATGAAGAGTTCTTTCTTTTTAAATACAAGTAGCCACAGACTACGATGAGTGTCTTTCTTCCTGTTTTTCGTAATTCCAAAGTGTGAGAGCCTGAATACATTTTCCGTGAGCCCGTTGGTGACGAGCGTCTACCCATTTGCAAAAATCATTAACTTATTAGAGCTTTCTGGAGATAACGACGACCTCTCGCAGTCAAATCTGTTTGCCGTTACATATCCCAGAGCATACAGTATATAGATCCATACCTTTTGAGTGTGATTTCAACAAGGCGGAATCATAAATAACCCAATGCCGCTTAGCGTCGATAAGTGATCCGTATCGTCGTTGGTTTTACGGCTTTCAGTAACAGGCTTTGCTTTTGTTCACGTCTTTGTGTTGAGATCAAATTTCTTTTTCCAGTAGGAGAATGTATTGGCTTTAGGCCATGAAAAAATTTCGTGCATGCGTGATCACCTGCGTGACAAGCGCATGGAGTAGATCACGAATCATCTAAAACGGCGAAGTGGGTTTATACATACTCATCCCGTCAAAAGCTTTTTCTATAGGGGATACCAAATTGAAGCATACACTAGGTTTACTGGCTGACACATTTCTAATTTTCTTTTTTTCGTCGTCTTCGGATCTCCCGGCTCTTTCCCAACTAGGCCCCCCGCCCCGCCCCTCGCTTTCTGGCGATACGTGACTCTCTACACACTCCCCTAACCCAACATTTTGCCCTAAGCGAGAAGTTAGTTTTAACCTTAGGTTAGGGGAGGGGTAGGTAAGCTGTTTACCAGAATCTTATACTGATCCCTCCCCACTCCCCCCCCACGGGGGGAGTATATGTGAATTCTTGTAAATGTTTTATCTTGATTTTAGCAGGGCCTACCCTCAAAAGTGATTGACGTGCTGAAGCAAAGAAAATTCGAGTTATGACGGAATAATATTCGCTGAAGGAAAGTGAAAGTTAATAGTTAACCACGTTTAGTAGTTAACTGAGAATTGGCCCCAGAAATAGTAGTTAACTGATATGATTTGGCTGAAAAATTAGTAGTTAACTGGGAATTGGGTGCCCCCATTAGCACCCTCTTATCAGCATAAGAGAACGCTGCAATGAATGGTACATTAACAGGTATCCTTCGTAACCCAGCCAAATTTATGTTGGTAGTTGTTTCTTTGAGTAGCAAACTGCGAGAAATTAGTTTCACACATTAGAGGGGTGTTGGGTTTATAGAAACTCCATTGTATTTACTTCATAAACAGTCTCCTGTCCTGTGTTGAGCTTCTTCGAATAAACGCGACTCTACCAATGATACTCGTAACTAATACGTATGATTTTGACTGAAGAAACTGACATTATAATTACATTTGTCTTTCCCCTATGACCATCCCTGTTGCTAATATTTTGCTGATCCGAAGCGAAGAGATTCTCCCATGGAGTTTGTCTGTTCTTGGCGTGTTTCTTCTTTTTTACGCGGATAAGTAATCCTTCTATTTCTCTCTCGATAACCGCTTCCCAAATTAAATTATCCCAGCAAAAGTCAGGGTGGGCCAACAGGTAGCGTCGCTGGCTGTCCCTTTAAGGTTGGTTTTTTTCTTATTAACAGGGTCTAGGTCCTCCCGCCCGAACGTAAGTCGATTCACCCGATGTTTATTTGTCGTTCTTTAAGCCTGAAAAAATAATAATAATAAAATAAAATAAAAAATAAGGGTGAAAAGACAATGACTGCGTATGTGCAGCGACAACTTTTTTCAGTGAAAACTTCGCACAAAAAATAAGTCAAAGATTGACGTAGCGATCGCTGAGGTAAATGTACATGTAGAGACGTCTGTTTTAACGTACAGTATTTCAGTATCTCGAATGTGATTACCGAGATTGCTTAGACCTTTCAGATCGCTCGACCTTTTTTGGCAATCGCAGCAACAGAGATCAATGGAATCCAAGCTTGACTAAATAACATCTCCAACAAGCCGTGTTGTAGAGTATTGTTTGTCTTCGGGCGAATCGACTTACGTTCGGGCGAAACAACTTCTGGCGAATAGACTTTATGGCGAAACGACCACTATTCCTTTTCTTTTGCTACGGTTGGTTCTCGCTCGGTCTCTAATATATCTTAACTTTTTAACAATTTTTTCGTTTTTACATTCCCCAACTTGCTTCTTGTTTTTGCTAAAAGGCAGATTGTGGTTCAATTTTCACCACGCAACCTAGCAGTTCAGATAGCAGCTTCTCAGTAAATCCAACCAGGAAATAAAACTTTGTGAGATCTCCTTCCTTGGACACGATGAAGACCAGGTTGATACGGTTAGCTTTGCGTTTGATAACAACTTCAGATTTCAAAAAGTCATGCAGAACGCCTTCAACAAACTTGCGAATCATTATGTCATCTAGTAGTCGTTCGGACGCCCAGTAGCTTCCTTTTAGACTTCCTGCGAAAACAAAACAAAAATAACTTAATATAGTGCGTGATTTTTTTTCCAAAAAGATAAATGAATAATAAATTTTGTAGACAGAAAATTAAGATTAAACTTAGCCTGCGTAGCAGCCGCTTGAAAGTAACGGCACAGAAAAGAACGCGGCGGGAGAGAGATACACGCGAGGGGAGAGGGAGCTCCTTCTCTGCTCGCGTGTTTCCCTCGCTTGCCCCGTTCTTTTTTGCGCCCATTACTTCCAATCGCCTGCTACGCGCGCGGGATAGATTAAACTACCACCGCATTACAAAGGAAAGATGGGAGATTATATGATACAATCGTAGGGAAAAAAGACGGCAACTCAAACAAACTGCCCTTTTCATGGTTTTTCGCATTCTTCTTTGATCTCCTTAACTGAATCGTGCTTGTTTAGTTGAGTGGCACCTTTTAGATAATTTTACGCACCTGTGTGTTGTGAGTCCCAACTTTTTGTGACACCGATTCTGTGACTTGGTACCAAATCACTTTTCTTTTGCTGTTTAGATTTGGGTTGATATGCATATCTCACTCCAAGAATCTCTGTGAGAGGTGGTGCTACGCCAATTGCTGGAAAACATCCTACACTCCGAGAAAGGCTTTGACCTCCTCTGATGAGAGAAATACGACCAAAGCTCTGCAAATAAAACCAAATTAATATTAATAGTACGTATATTTACTCATACAGTAAAATTATGGCTATTACCCCCTGCCAACATGGCCCCTTAGGTTACTGTGGATATCTACCAAAGAACAAAAATAATCATAATAACATTCTACTGTAAACCTTAACCACCTCAAGTTATGGTATACCATAAACAATGTTGTCAGAAAGTTATGGACTATGTTTGATAAATGTTTACTTATAAACTGCCACAGGGTTGTCTCAATTTTGTTACCTTAGCAAGATGCCAAGAGTTAGTAAATTCGTTGCTCAGCTCATAATTGTTGTGAACTGCACTTGCTTCATTGCTTTCTTTGCTTTTTCAGAGTGCAAAGAAAGCCAGTTTTACAGCTTGCCATTGGAGCAAACTGTAGCTAGCATGTACTACTTAGCCCAAAATTCATTTCAACTAACACCAAATACTTTTGGATGAGCAGGATTGATATACACAGTTTTTATGTACGGTAATTTTAATTCCTCAAAAAACTTCACTAACTTACTTGTGAGCAAGTTAAGAGCAGAATTCACTAGCCCTATAGCAAAATCCACTGGTCCCGGGCTATCAGACACTCCTTTTTTTGCCCACTGTTTTTTTTGATAGCAAATTCTTTCAAATGTCAATTTTATTCAAGTTTGACTTTAGACTTCTCATTTTGTGGCATACATCAGAAACATAGTAAGTACAGCAATCACTGTAAATTGTAAATATCTCATTATCCACTCCTCCCAGGGCTTTTCAGGGATAATTGAATACACTGGTTGGGGGACTTTTCCCAGGCTGCATTTATTTCAATTTACAAGAAACAAGGGAATGAGTAATGATGCCCCCTATCATATGTGAGTGTAAATCAGTTGAGATACCTTGTTATAGAAAATTAATACTTCATGAAATTAACATGAATTTCAAAAATACAAGTCGAGTTAATTTTTGTAACTTTAATTTCTGCACCTTTGATTAAGTGGTGCATTAATTTCTGCGACCTTAGTTTCCGTTATTTTGGCCCCAAATTCTTGATACAAAATTTGACATTCTTGACACCTACGGAAGGGGAGTATTTTATCAGGGTGGAGATCCGCCAGTATCATTGAAACTGTAAAGAACCCTCACAGTGGCCAGATTTCTACCCTTACAGCTGTAGCCCCTTTGGTGGGTTTAGGGAAAGAAAAAGCAAAAACAAAGTTTCCATCAAGCTCTGTTGTCTCAAAAATTTGTGATTCACTGTGAACATTGTGTTAATTTCCTTCATTTTGAAATGTTACCCTCCCTTTTGTGTTAATTTCCTTTAATTGAAAGTCATTTTTCATTAAATCATGTTAATTCAAGTCGTGCTTATTTCCAGGGCACTTTATTAATGTGGCATGGGGTCCTTCATTTCATGAAACATTAATTTCCTCTAGTAAGGGAGACCACTACACCCTACTCTTTCCGGAAGGTGTGAGGGGTTTTTTAAGGAACCACAGAATTAGTTCATCATCATGTACCAGGGTTTTGAGAGTGGGTATATAGTTTGTATCTTTATGCACCGATCAATTCAAATTTTCAACAACCACCATCTGGACAAACCCTAGGTGTTTGACCATTGATTGTCCCTGGGGAGTGGGGAATTTGACATGTAAGGCTTTCCTTGGGGTGGGGAATTTCACTTTTGCCTTGGTGAGGTCACATGAGTCCCAAGCTCACATCATGAGAGTGGAATGTAATTTACTTTCTCACAAGAGAGTCAGTGTCACGTTACAGGTGAACGCTGAGACGTTGTATGAAAAATAAAATACTGGGGTCTGCAAACACTAAATATCATTATACTTGACCTTTTCTTCTATAGAAGAGACTTACCTTTGATGTATTCCTGTGTTTTTTGGTGTGAATTCATCGATTTCAGAGGGGAGATACAGGGGTCACACGATAACAGCCAAAAAAACAACTACTTTATTTCTCATACAACGTCTCAATGGTCGCCTGTAATGCAACACCGACTCTCTTGTGAAAAAGTAAAGTACATTCCACTCTCATAACTTGAACTTGGGATGCCTGTGGTGAGGTGGGGAATATAACTTGAACCAGAAGTGCAGTGCTGTCAACTCTCCCAGATAATCCGGGAGACTCCACATTTTGACCATATCGATCTCCCCGTCTCCAAATTAGAGTCTGAAATCTCCCTGACAATTGCCAAAGTTTGCCATTTCTTGTAGGCTTGACTTTCCTACCATAAAATTTTAAATATTTTGCGTTGTTTGAACTATTTTACTGTTAACATAACCTGCAATTTTCAGGGAAAGGGGAAAAAAAAGAACCCCCTTTTTTCATTAGCGAAAACATCACAGATTTTAAAGACCAAGTTAGCACTGCTGTTATTGCGAATCTTGCCTTGTTGCTGCTGTGTGATACCTTTGTTCAAGCTGTCAAGTCAAACAAATTGATAATTCATTGAAAACAATAGTGGAACATTTGAATTCTGTATTTTACTGGAAGCGGTCAAAACTTATAAAAATTGATTCTGTGGTAACAAATCTGGTCTTTCATCAGTTTGCAAAAGTACAGGTTTAAAATCCTCAATAATTTTTTTCTTATTACACACTTTTATGCATCAGTTGAACCTATCAGAAACCAAAGACAACAATTCTGCCTAGTGCAAGCAAGAAAGCATTGAAGGAGAAATAGGAAAAATAGTGGATATCATTACCAGTGACAAATAACAACTCGTCCTCGTCTTAGCCGTCAAGGCTCATTGTTGACTTGATTCATCAAAAAGTATTGATTTTTTCCTTTGTAGACCTAGCTTTAAAACCTAAACATGCTACTAAAAGAATCCCTTAATGATCTCATGGTTTCTGTCGTGAAGAGACATAGGTGACAAAACGTATCTAATAGCACCCGAAGTAAGATATGTTGCTTGACCAATTGGTGCAGAACTCTGAAGGAAAGGATCTTTTGTTTTTCGACCAATCAGACAAAAGTCCAGATTCTGGACTAAGGGCGCGCAGACGATGTGTAAAGTAAATCTATCAGGCATCCTTTTCCCCTTGTCTCCCAATAAAAAAGGAAGAAGCACACCTGATCGCAGGTTACCGCTAACATGGAACGTTTTCTCATAAACTTTGGCATGCCATTGTAATTTAAGCAATGATAGATAAATTAAAGATAAATTAACGTAATCGTTGCAGTGCTGTCAACTCTCCCAGATGATCCAGGAGACTCCAGATTTTAGACTGTATCTCGTGGTCTCCAGATTAGAGTCTGATATCTCCCAGATAATCGCCAAAGTCGCTATTTCTTGTAGACTATTGTAGACTTTCCGATGATAAAATTTCAAACATTTTGCATTATTTGAGCTACTGTTAACATGGAACATTTCCTCAACAATGGCTAAATACGAACTGTTATATGTGCTATAAACGTCGATCGAGATCAACGAACATTTTTTGGCACAAAATGACGCCATTTGTCGTGTGATATGATGTCAACTATAATTTCTTCCCTATCAATTCTCAATATTTGATGACGTGGGGGGTTGACAGCCCTGCGTTGTAAGCAGAAATCCCTTGTCGTTATATCGTTGCAAGCAAAAAAAGAGTAGAAAGTCTAACCGTTTGCAGATCTCATTACAAGATGTCATTTCTGAATATTACACTTATTGAGAAATTAAAGATGTCTTTTTCAGTCAGTGACGCAAGCTACTTGAAAGAAAAACTTCAAGTATTCTCAACTGGAGTCGTACTTGGCTACAAGTAAACCAAGTGCTGCTGTGGAAGAGGGGGTAGCATCTAGGCGAATCTACTTAAGCCGAGCGTATTGCCGTCGGGCGAATCGACTTTCGGGCAAAGCGACCCGTTACCTGTAAACCTACCTGGAAGATGGCAATTTTCAAGAAGTTTCGGCACCCAAGGGAAGCCATAAACTACCAAAATTGTCGAACTTTCTTTGCAAAATGCAACCAGCAGAACCAGCACTTTACGAAGGGTCCACCATGTTTTTCCCACAATGCCACACATTCAGTACCAGTCTTATGGCCGGGAAATGATGCCAGGATAACCAATATGGCGACCAGAGGTTTATACGTGGATGGAATTTTTCCTATCCGATCTTTGTTCCCTTGGAAATAACTTTCATCTCAAAATGAAGGCAAAGAACAAATTTTAACGAGTACAAAAATTCACAGATGAGTTGGTTTGATACTTCGAGCTTTTCTTCGTTCGCTAAGACAGCTTTGACTCAAGCACAAAATCTCCAAAAGTCCATCGACAGAGTGTTAGATATTGAAGATGATGCTAGTTCTGCATCTAACTCTTCAGGTAAACTCGTCACCATTTTTATGGTTCTAAATTGTGTTAATCTCCTATATTTTTATTAAAATCGTTAATCTGGATTTGTCTGTTGGACTAAATTTCTAATTGTAATACCGAAAGCGTGTAGGAACCCGGTAGCTGGGAACTGTTTTAAAAAAAACTAGATACCCGGCAGTCAGAGATTTTGACTAATTTTCCCTAAATAGCTCGTTTAATTCCTCTAAAAACACACGATATTTGTTTAGAAATCTCAAGCGATTGTAAGTTTTGCCTTGGGTTCAAAGTAGAATATTTTCTAAGTGTCGAAAACATTGAAATTTCACTCTATGCCCAAGCTCGATCGTCACTTCTATTTTTAACCCAAGGCAATCTTTACAATCGCTTGAGATTCTTAAACAAATATCTTATGTTCTTATTAAACGAGCTATTCTGAGAAAATTGGTCAAAATTTCTGATTGAAGGGTATCTAAGTTTTTGAAAACAGTTCCTGGCTGCCGGGTATCTAGACACTTCCTAAACTACAGCTTTAATATTTTTCTACAGTATTACCTAATGATGTGATTATTGATAGCACCAGAAACAAATTTTCCACCGATTAAACTGGGACATCTGTTAAACGTTTTGCACCTTAGGCAAACGAGTGCATTGTATCTGTACCAACAGATAGATTTGACTCAAATAAACAGATTATGACAGTTCACTTTAGGTTGTTGTTTTAATTTTTTTTGCCTTTTTTTTAAAATTAAATTTCTAGTCACTGTATGTAACCAAAGGCTAGTTCTGGCATGTCACATTTGTATCAGTTTGAAGTTCAAAGCACACAATACTTGATTATATTGTTTACTCATGATCGCAAAAAATTCTCTCTTCTATTGAGCGCTTATAGATTTATGTCATGGAATTAAAAAAAGCGTTGGTCAGCTTGTTATATTTTGATGAAAAACAATGGAACCATGATCTAAAAAATCGTTCTATGATGAAAGCCTTGGGGTAGCTAACAAATTTTTCACCTCAGTAATTGGTATTTAATGTGTTCACATGTTTAAGGAAAAGAACTCAATATTACAAAACCTTTGTACAGTCTTTAGCTAACAGATTTTCCCACTCCCTTGGCCCTTTGTTATATTGAGTTTTCATAACTATTTAAGAGCGAATGCACAGAAAAATCGAGCAAACCGTGGCCACAGCTCAAAACCTAACCTACCCTCATTTTAAGTCTGTAATAAGGTTTTAATGAGTTTATAACACTGCTGAGGTTTAATTTTCAAAATGCGGCCGAGTTTGGGAATTATTTGAGATTTTCGATTTCAACGGTCTGCGGGCCTAAAATTAGCCGCCGAACACGGCAATATAGCCTAGCGACAGAAATGAGCTGAATTTCATAAACGAGCGAATATATTGCCAATCTTCCACTTAAATCTCAAAAAGCAGATATCTAACAATTTCTGAATGGCTTCTTTTTTAGATTTAGAGTATAAAATATCGACGAACCAGCAGAATTTTGAAACGTAATTCGCATAATGCTTATAAATACAACAATTTACCGCTAAAACCAAAATCGAATTTTCTATATGGGGGAATTCTCCAAATCACCCCAAATCCCGCTTACTACCTAATGAGATATAGTACTTCAACATTATCTGAAAGTTAGTCTGGTGTTCTTGCGAACGCTTGTGAAATAGATTGATTATTTTGAAGTTATTTTGCCCCAAACAACTGCTAATTGACCCCAGGGTCAATTGACACGTGCACGTCACCTTAGTTTTATGCATCGATTTGAGCTCGTTAAAGGGAGAAACTAACAAGATTCTTTTAATATGTACCTGTTTTAATGAAATACACGCAATCTTCAAAAGGAGAGGCCGTTCAATGGGTAATTTCTGTTCTTGAGATCTTGTAGATTGTACCATGGCGTCTGCGAGTGGACCTGAGTCTAGGTCTGTTTTCCCGTGACTGCGAAATCAGAATAACATCATGAAATAATTCTCTCTCGAACCTTCGTAAATGAATCAGCTTTGCAGTGCCTTACCTGAGATAAAAAGTGGGCAGAATAGGAAAACATTCTAGCCCAATTTGGATTCTTTGCAGCACGTAGTGTATTTGGTAAGCGGCGATGGTATTAATGACTTTTTTAAAAGTCAGGTGAGTAACTAATTAAAATTAGTTACTCACCTCCGATTGCGTGACCAGGCAATTATAGATTGTCTCCAGCGAAAAATAAGTGCATGTGAAACCAAAGCTTTCGGGATACAGTAAATTCATTTTCCTGTATGACCAGGTGTCCTTTTGTCCTTTTTTTTTCAAGCGGTTAACTAAGATGATTAGCAAACATACTGTCCCACTTTTAAAAATGGTACAGTAACTGAATGTTCTGTTCTTCTGATTTTACCCCTAACCCCGGAGTGTTCAGAAGATATATTTGCACTACGCATGAAAGGCAAATGGATTAAATTTTAAGGTTCAAGGCGGTTTTAAGGCATGGGTTACCAGTGGATTAGTCAGACTTGTCATAAGGTGCATTGAACAGAAAATTACAGGCATGATATCTCTGCTATTGTATGTCCATTAAGTGATTTTCCATCAAACATTATTTTTTTACTTTTTTACCCCAAAAGTTTTTTTCGTTCAATTGTTATCTATGAGATGTAAACTTAGTTAAATTTCTGTAATTTGTTGTTAAATGCAAATCTGTAAACAACTAAGTATTTAATTTTGCGTAAAAGCTACATGAAATTGTACTGTTTAGCCGTAAATCATTAAAAAGAGAAAGCATCATGCTTTCTCTTTTCAAGTCTAGTAGGACTTGAGCAATGGCATTGCTTAAGTCCTAGTAGTTCTTCTCCATGTCTGCTTAGCTAAGGGGGGAATAGTTTGCTCTTTTCAAGAAATTGTTCTTGCCCATTGCGGTTTCAAACCAAGGATAGCAGCAAGTCTGTCGTGGTCATATACTGCTACTTCAGTGGAAACGAAGCATAGGCGCACAAGTCAGCGCTTGCGTTTAGTCAGGTGCCGAAAATGAAGTGGAAACTTAACCCTAAGGTCGTCCATGTTCGCTCCGGCTCGAAAAGGTAGAATCAGTTGTGCAGTAAAAAGTAATGCGAAAAACTTGCGAGGGCTGGGGAAAGAAAGGCGTCTTATTTTTCTTTGGCTTGTTCTATTTTCGCGACGTGCTACAGGTTACGAAATACTGACAAGCTCAATATATGTCTTCACCACCGAGAGTCAGTTGCCCTTAGCCAGACACGCCCCTCACGTATCATGTTTCGTTCCTAAAGTTATTTCAAAGCACAGAACCAAACCTAATCAGCGGCCGAAGGCAGAAAAGGGGATGAGCAAACGGATGTCACAGCATATTTTGCAAGAAACCGGTATCCTTGTGCCTATCGGCTCAGGAACGATTGATTACTACTAGAATAAATACCAGGGTCAGAATTTGAGTGCTACAATGGGAGGGAAAGAAGAAAAGAAAACCCTTGGCGCACCTGTTAAGTCTTTTATAAACTTTCTCGTCCTGACGGTCTCAAAGAAGGGCGTTGTGGCTGCTATTTAATTTACAGTGTCTGTTGCAGGAGTCGAATTAATCCTACAGCAACTGGAAACGTGGCCACGCCTGCTGAAACTGAGATTACTTGTAGGATATTCGGCTATAGTTTGGTATATTCACGAGCGCGTTTTGTCCAGTGAACTGAGCGCGTAGTTTTTCTTAACGAAGGGATGGGGTGGGTCAAGTGAATATTTCGGGGAACGTTTGCTCTCTTTAGTTGGGGGTGGTGGGGGGGTATATTTGTTGATATCAGGAGTTCTGGCCTGGATAGAGTCGTTGTAAAGCTATTTTTGCTTCGGGGTATCGGTTTCCCGGAAGCTGAGCAAGGAAAATTCAATGGTACATTTATGGAATAATAATAGAGATTCTCATGGTCTAACAGTGCGAAGATTAGACTTCTGGTAAGGTGACAACGATCAAGGCCCGCATTATAATTCATGATAATTGAAGGTCATGATGTGGAAAAAGCGACTGAAATGGTGGATGCTATGCAATCCTCTCGGGTGGGGGCGGGGCACCTGGCCTTAACGGTTGCCCCTTCGACAGAAGGCAAGCATGCCCAGATTGTCCACGGGTTGCTAAATGAGACCGTCCCTTTCTTAGTACCCGTTCCCTGTCTTTTTATTAGACCCAGGCAAATTTCTCGAGATTGCACCATCATTTTGGGCTTTTAAGCTTCCAAAGTCCAACAATAATAGCGCATGTTCGCGACGGTTTTTTAAGTCAGTCAAGTTCTTAAACCAGGCCTTAAACGGCCAGTTTTAAGTGTCGATAACAGTTAAAAAGGCATACAAGCCCCATGCAAAAGACAGTGGGAAGGAAGTGCACATCGGTGATGGGAAAAAAGGACTAGCCCGCAGTTATTTAGGGGTGGATCTTTCGAAACATTCTTATACTCTTGGACAGATATGCATTGTTTAAAGTTTTAGACAAACCAGGTGTAAATTTATATTAACAAACTGTTAAATATACATCAGCAAGATTTTTGCGAATCCTATTTTTCGCTGGAGACTATCGTTTACTGGCTGGTCACGCAATCAAAGGTAACGTACTTTCCCACGTTTGTTTACTGACCTTTCGCTCGGCAATACACTGCGTTCGACAAAGGATCCAAATTGCGCTGGAAATGTTTTGCTATTCGGCCCACTTTTTATCTCAGGTAAGGCATTGCAAAGCTGATTCACTTACGAAGATTCGAGGGAGAATTATTTCTTGATGTTATTCTGATTTCGCAGTCACGGGAAAACAGACCTAGACTCAGGTCCACTCGCAGACGCCATGCTGCAATCTTCAAGATCTCAAGAACAGAAATTACCCATTGAACGGCCTCTCCTTTTGAAGATTGCGTGTATTTCATTAAAACAGGTACATATTAAAAGAATCTTGTTAGTTTCTCCCTTTTAACGAGCTCAAATCGATGCATAAAACTAAGGTGACGTGCACGTGTCAATTGACCCTGGGGTCAATTAGCAGTTGTTTGGGGCAAAATAACTTCAAAATAATCAATCTATTTCACAAGCGTTCGCAAGAACACCAGACTAACTTTCAGATAATGTTGAAGTACTATATCTCATTAGTTAGTAAGCGGGATTTGGGGTGATTTGGAGAATTCCCCCATATAGAAAATTCGATTTTGGTTTTAGCGGTAAATTGTTGTATTTATAAGCATTATGCAAATTACGTTTCAAAATTCTGCTGGTTCGTCGATATTTTATACTCTAAATCTAAAAAAGAAGCCATTCAGAAATTGTTAGATATCTGCTTTTTGAGATTTAAGTGGAAGATTGGCAATATATTCGCTCGTTTATGAAATTCAGCTCATTTCTGTCGCTAGGCTATATTGCCGTGTTCGGCGGCTAATTTTAGGCCCGCAGACCGTTGAAATCGAAAATCTCAAATAATTCCCAAACTCGGCCGCATTTTGAAAATTAAACCTCAGCAGTGTTATAAACTCATTAAAACCTTATTACAGACTGAAAATGAGAGTAAGTTAGGTTTTGAGCTGTGGCCACGATTTGCCGATTTTGCTCGATTTTTCTGTGCATTCGCTCTTAATGTCATTTTAATTTTATTATATTATTACATTGATAATGGTTTCTTGTTTATGCTACATAGCTCCAAGCAAAGATAAATTATCACCCTCCAGTGGCAGCTCTGTAAAGGAATCTTCAACTACCAAAAAATCCTCATCATTGGTATCTGCAACTTCAACTTCAAAGTCCACTAGAAAAGCATCATCTGATGAGAATAATGCAAAGGGAAATGACAGTGAAGGTAATTCATTCTGGTCTTCATTTCTTGGGGACTCAGCTCCCGTGAAAAGTGAGTCTAAAACTTCAAGTCGAAGGTCTGCTGCAGGAAGAAAACTTGGCTCTAGGGTGAGTAGGACAACAAGAAGAAGTGTTGATGGAAATGAGACTGCAACACCTAGTGAGAATTCTTCAAATGAGAAAGAAAATCTCTCATCTTCAAGAACATTTAAACAAGATGGAAAGAGTGAGGATAGCGTCATCAACACATTCAAATCTAATACACATTTATCAGCATCAAAATCTAATAAAAAGGCAGATGAAACAGACAGTGTTTCTAATGCATTGCATGAAAAAAGTGGAAAGAAAACTAAGGTACCTGTAGTTGAGGATAGCAGAGAAGAAAATGTTAAGTATCATGTACAGGAATCTACTGTCAAGACTGTTGAAAGTGGTAATGCAATAGAGTCAAAGGATTTAATTGTCTCTGATGAAAAGAGCTTTGACAGTAATAGTGATAAGCTAGTTAAAGATTCACTGGGGGATGACAACACTGTTTTGTTGAACAATTCTGCTAACACAAGCAGCAGAGGACTTAAGGAAAGAAATCTTAAAACTGCTTGTGAAGAACCAGTATTTTCAGAAGGGAGACAAAGTGAAGGTCAAAACTTAGTCACAAAGAGTACTGTAGATACAGCAGAAAAACTTTTAAGTGAGGAATTACATAGGACTGAAAAGAAAGCGAAAGGAGTGGAACACTCAGTCGTTACTATAAAATCACAAGATGCCGAGGAGGTTGAATCACCCAGTATGATAAACAGCATGAAGTCAGGAAGTACAGTAGATCATGATCAAAATTGTACAGATTCAACAGACAATATTGTTGGCGCAGATACAGCCATACAGGAAGTTTCAAATGAAATAGCAGAGAAAGAGAAATTTGTGGAGGTTGAACCCCTTGCCAGTTCTACACCAAATCACTTTTTAAAGGGATTATCTGTGATGTCTGGCAAAGAAGTGAACCCTACTGATGAAGAGCTACCTTTAAAATTTGGCGAATACAGTGAGAATTTGTCAGTAATCAAGGAGAATGACTCCGAACTTCCATTAAGTGGATTAGAAGAAAATGAACTAGTTTCACAAGATGTAAAAAATGAGCAATCTGAAGATAGGTTTCAAAGTGAAGAAGTACCTTGTGAGGGAATGAAAAATACTGCTGAAGACAGATTGCTTTTGCAGCAATCCAGTGGTGAGTAATTGGCATGATACTTACTGAAATAGTTTGAAGAAGTGGTGACATAGAAAACTTAATTTATGAAATAATGTGGGATTGGGTGGAATAATCAGAAAGAACAGGATGAAAAAATACCCAGTTGCCTAAAATCAGTTTGCTAGTAAAAATTGGTGGTGAGAGATTAGCACTGTAACTGTTAGGATCTGATGACTATGATAATATAAGTTAGATTATTAAATTTAGTGTCAAATACACAGGAAGTGGTTACCTTGCCTCTCAATGCAGAGGCTCATGTTTTAAATGTTTATACAAATCCTTATTTTAAATTGGCTTGGATCGTATCTTATCCTGGTCAGATTTAGAAGAATTGTCATGGAGTCATCAGCCCATGACAATATGTATACAGTAGCTGTATCTCACTGGCAATTTTCCCTAACGTGCTTATTTTTGGCAAGTGGACATCTTGCGTCTTTTTTTTGAATATCCTAACCAATCCCATAATATTAGTAAGAGCTTCAAATTTGGTGCCATCACCCCTCTTTTAATATCAGTCATGATCTGGGTTAAATATTAAGTATTGTTTTGTTATGTGGCAATACATGTACTTGAATCCTCATCCAATGTCATTGGACATCATGATACATACATAGTACATACATGCATACAATTCATACATAAATACACTGTTTAGCCATTACGACACCTGAAGGAGGCTATCCTCCCTATATTAAGATTTCTCCTTACAGATAACCCACCCAGCCCAGGAAAGGTTGGCCACACCACTGGGGTCTACGTCCCCTACTCTTTTCAAACAGCAGTTTGGATTGATTTACATCCCACAAAAACGAGATAAGTGAATCCAAAGTGCCGTGAGATGGACCTGTACAATTTTTTGTCTTCATTTGAGAAGACTAGAAAGTGTAACCGTTTACAGATTACAAAGGCAGCACTTTCTTCTCAGTTATGTAAAGACCCTGATTGCTGGTCTGGCCGGGGTTTGAACCAGTGACCTCCCAACTGAGCTAACCAGGCGGCGGTAAATAGGAATCTTTTTTTTTCCACACAGAGAATGCATATAAAGAACTGCCTCAAAAAGGCAGTTTATGAAATAAAATGTATTTAAATTGTATTTTGAAAAGAGGTTTCTTTGTGTTAAAAGATTTTGACCAATCATTAAGATTGCAGAAAAATGCCAAAATAATTTTACCATTTCACATGTTCTTCACATAAGATTTCAGTGCTATTTAGCCTCAGATAAGATTTTGTTATGAAAAATTTAATAAGTATACAAAGTTATGTAAAGTTTTCCTAAATTTTGCTGTTTAAACCAACAGACGTATACAGACAAAAGTAAAATTAGCAACTGTTTGCATTCTGACATGCATGTTCATCACCGTTATTGCTTTCCTTCTTATCTGAACTATTACCTACAAGTAATCGTTTTGTAAAACTGCTACATTATTAATGGACAGTATAATCTTCTTGCAGCAATTCTGTTTAAAGACAGACAAATGACTGTTGTAATTTTAAAATTCACCAAAGTGATTAATTGTTATTTGTTTGCTGTCTCATTTCCTCAGAGAATGTTGTAATCAAAGAAAACAAAGAAGAAACTAAGAACAAGGCCATAAAAATTGATCATGAAAACTCTACAGAGAGCTCAGAAGACTTGAAGCAGAAGATAGAGCATTTGCAAAATGCAAGTAAACACATAACTTAATTTGACCTGGACTATTGCAATAATTATTATTTGATTAACCAACATACTTGATGTACAATTGCTTAAAAATTGTATTTTTAAAATACATGGTCTGTTATAGCAAATAACACATCATAATCAGAAATTGATTTTTTAAATTAATTTTTGCAGGAACTTGATAACCTGACACATGTTGTTGAAGTACGTGAGAGTAAACTTGTTCAGCTAAGTAAAGAGAATGTTGATCTACAGGAAACAGCAACTATCCTTAGAAGGTTTGTACCAACCATTACAGTCAGTTATTTGCCACATTGGACTTAAGAGGTAATCACTGCTGTGTGCTGTTCTTCTAAAGTGAAGGTTATGCTCTGTGGGAAATTATTTATGCTGACTGGCTTATTTGAGGGTGAAGATGTACTTTTTTGCGCGATGTTAATGACGTTTTCACCCTAGAGTACTTTTACATGTAATAACATTTTAGCATCAACTAAGAATAATATTATTGTTAATTTTATTATTTTTTTTGGAAGCTTGTTTTGATTATTGTTTACATCACTTATCCAAAAATTATATTATGCTGTTAAATTTGTTTTAACTTTTTTACACATGTAGAACATCCAGAAGCTAGTGTTTATGTACAAGAAAGAAATAAGACACCACAATACAGGGCTTCTGATAATTTATTTTGGACGGTCGCAGAGCCATGAAATTCAGGTAAATCCGTAAAATTCCCAAAACGCTCAAAATACCACAAAATTCGGTTGAAATCTTATCAAATACATGTCTGTAGAACTTAATTATTTGAAACTTATCTCAGCTATTGGGGCTGTTTACTTGCTGTAAAATTTAATGTGCAAATTTGTTACTGAAATGAGCAAACAATGTCCAAAAACTACCAGGTGAAGATTATGTTGCAAACACCTGGGTACTAGCCATGATGTTGAAAGCTTTGCCTCTGGTTCATTTCTGGAGTGTATATTGTTGTCGAAAGAACGAACGATTGATCTCTGTTAAGGAAACGTTAAAAACGCTGGTCTTATCAGCGGAAAAATGATCGATTTCTAGTGAAAGGGCCCTAAAAATTCCCACAAAATCGGCCATTTTTTTATTGTTTTTCGGCAAAGTTTGTCCCTGAAAATCCCAAGAAATTTGACTTTTTACTTCCATGACCTATCAGAAGCCCTGTAAGTACCTTTACAACTTAAGTATTGGCTTGATTTTGGCCACTCTCTCTCGAGTGTGCCCTGGAAGAGATGAAGAGGAGCACAAGTTCATTTCCTACAGTGTAAATAGTTGCTGGAAATCAAGCCTTATCCTGTAAGCACAGTGTAGGAATCATGGAAAATAATGCCTGTCCCTGACTTCCAAACTCAGTTTTTTCCTTTGGACTACAATCATGACATGAATTATTGTATATATACCGTATTTATTTGATTAAGCGCCCAACCTCGAATTAGCGCCTACCTCAAGTAAGCACCCATCCTAAAGGCAGAAAAATTTAATAAGTGCCCAGCCTCGAAAAAGTGCCCACCCCACCCTACTCCCTCCCACAAAAACTCCAATAAGAGATAATAAGAGACCCTCCCGAAGACGGAGTCTTCTTCGGAGTATTTTACAGAAACCTTGCTTTGTTGCATCTTCGCTTTTTGTAATTAGCATTTACTGTTTTGTTGCAAAATATGCTACTACACTTGCTGAGAATGGTGAAAATTTAATAAGCGCCCACCTCGAATAAGCGCCCACTCTCAAGGTCAAAAAATTTAATAAGCGCCCAGGGCGATTAATCAAATAAATACAGTATCCATCCTTCAGAAGGTACTGACTTGCCTTAATTTTTATAGTCAACTTAAACAAGCTGAGGATGCATTAAAGACAGAAGATGAAGAAATTGAAGAAGTCAGGAAAGAATTTACTGTTCGAGTAGCAGCCACAGAAAAGAAGTTTCATGCTGCAGCTAAGGTTTGTATAGTATTTTCATGACAACAATTATACAAGTATTGCAGGTCAAAGAGAACTTTAGAAAATTTTTGTGTCCTATTTTTTTTGTATTACTGAGTAAACAGTTAAAAGTTTGTACTAGAGGCAAATGCAAACATCCAAGAATTGTGTGATTTTCTACCAGCTTAAGGCTGTCCAGTGCATAACACAGTGTTTGTAAATAGTCTTGCCTTGTGAGCTGCAACAACAGTGATTATGTTGCAACAGCAATGATTATGTGTGTGTCTTCTTCTTGTTTGTGGCTCATTTGAATGTTTCGTTTTGGAACAAGCTGCTAAATTGTCATTGTTTGCTCCATCTCAAAGATCTTAGCTAAGTATAGTTTAGCTACTCTAAAATTCGAGTCAAAATATTAATAAAGGTTATGTATACTTGTATGTCCATCTTAGGAGAGAGATCAGTTAAAGGCACTTTTGGAACAAACAGAAAAATCTCTGAGTTCAAGGTTCGTAGAGATGATTTAGTAATAATAATTGCCGGTGCTAATTATAACATACTAGCGTATACATAGCCAAAAGTTGTGTACAGCTGTAGAAAGGATGATCAGTTAAATTAAGTCAAAAATAGTCAGAAAGGCAATCTGAACAGAAGGAAAACCAGTTAGCATTTATGTAATCTACTCAATCTAATCGACTTTCTCATTAATTATGCATAATTACCAGCACACCTAGCCTGCGCGCAGACGAAATTAAACTCTGGTTAACTAATCAGAGTTTAGTTATCGTCTGCACGCAGGCTACAGCACACCCTGATCATAGAAATAGTGAATTATATCAAGGTACAGTGGAACCTCAATTGAATTAAGTGCCAAGGGATTGGGGAAATTTGTTCATTATATCGAGGGTTCGTTATATCAAAAACTTTGATTTAGCGAACTTTTGGGAAAACAAGCAAAATGCTCTTTATATTGAGGTGTTAGTTAATGATTAATTTCCAATGCCCAGCATTTCCGGTTTTGAACATTTTCTGTAATAACATTATTTTGTATACAAAACTGTTGTCTCAGTTCAGAGCTGTACATAGCTACAGCACCAGAAACACAAGAACAGGCAAACAAAACTGCTTAAAACTACAGTACACATAACCTTTATCCTCGCTGTTCTGTTTCGCATTCATCTTTAGCTATCTTGCGGTCACATGTTGACATTTATTCGTTATATCGAAGCATACATGTTTTTTTTTGTTTGCGATTCTGGATTGTGTTTGCTATAACGAGGATTTCATGAAATTGAGGTTCTATTCCATACGTTTTATTATAATTTTGGCCGGGCTGAAGAAAATCGCTCGTTATAACGAGGACTTCGTTATTAGGAGATGAAATAAACCGAGGTTCCACTGTAATAGACAAATATGACCAGATATCTCTGATAATCTCCATTATAAGCCCTCTCTCTTTTTTAAAGGCTCCGTCCTCATTAACCCCTCTCTGATTTTAAACATTCATAAATTATTAAGCCTCTACTGTGAAATGAATCCTCCCCAAACCCTACTCAATGGCAATGATTTGAACTGTCTACTTCTAAATACAGGTGTGATAACTAATTAAAAATAACTTAACTCTTTGGAAAGAAAAACACTGTATTCAGTGATACGCATTGCATTAACCCAAAAGATTCAGGGTATTAGATAATTATGTGACTGTTGAAATTGTAAAAACATGGAATGTGTGCCCCATAATGATACTGCTTAGCTAAGGAATTGAAGCTACAATGTTAATGTAAGTGAACTGCCAAGGGTGTTCGTGTACTCCATTTATAGAATACAGTATGTCCTGCCTCTCTAATAAGCTCCCCTCAACAATGAGCCGTGACAATACAAAGGACGGCTGTGAAGCAGACTATAATAACCCCCCTCAAAAAAGACTTGAAAGACCCCTGGATGGTGTATTCATTGTCCACTCCGTTACACAGGGAAGCTAATGTATTGATCCGTACAGGCACACGAAGTCCTAAATAGATGTACATGTACTCCTGCCTTTTTGTCATTGCTGATTCATATTTATCCACGTTTTATATTTTGCTCATGGTAATAAATATTTCTATGTTATTTTTTCATTTCTTGTGTTTGCCAATTCATGGGCTTCTATGTGTAAGACTCTTTTTAAAGCAACGTGAACTGAGTGTTGAATTTTCTATAGGAATGATCGGCAAGCTGAAGAGTTCACAACTCTCCTCAAGGAAAAGGATGATCAAATTGCTCAATTATTAGAGGAAGGTAATGATTGATATTAAAATAGTTTTATTATATAGACTGCCAATAATGCATGTTTACCCTTGTCTAACAATCGCATAAAACTGGTTTTGCAAATTTATTTTTCAAATTTACAGCTAGTGCAGCTGAAAGATACCCTTCAATTTCAAAATTTTAGTTTATTTCAGTTAAAAATAAAACATTAACTCAAGCTGTCCCACAGCCAAGCAGCAATCAAACTTTTCTTGCCCCAGGTAGTTGATGAACCCAGTAATTCTCAGTACTTTGTAACTTAAACTGAATGACATACCCTCACATTGACTGATCATTTTATCAGGTGAAAAGTTGTCTAAACAAGAGCTTCAAATCAATAACACAATAAAGAAACTCAGAGCTAAGGAAAAGGAGAATGAAGTGCTGATTAAGAAGAACAGGTACGAAATTTAAAAAAGTCTTCTTCCTCTTGCCCTCAGCTGCCTTTGAAATGAAATGTTTTGCAGTGCATTAATCCCTATCGACTGATCGAGATTAAGATAACTGCTCCTGCTGTCGTTTTCACCATCCATTTTCTCTGTTTTTTCTCCTTTACTAACGTTAAGATGTAAATAACAAATTTCATTTTCAATCAATAATGGGTACTGCGGGTATACCACCATCGGTTGCGAGGACACGAGACAAAAAAAAAGGTATTCTAATTAGGGTGTCAGACATGTCGTGTTTTGCCGCCAAACATTTGAAGTTTGACAGCCGTTGAAGCAAACTGTCGCACCGAAGGTAAGTTGTTTATATGTTTTTGAGCAGCTTGTTAAGCTCATATTTCATTTTTCCCAACTTTCAGGCATATTTCTCGCTCAGAAACAGCGCACTTGCCTCCAGAATATTTTGTTGAGCGAAAACAAATCAAGTCTACAACAGCCGCCTACTTCATATGATTGGCGGCAAAACATGTCATGTTTTCACCCAATTAGAACATTTTTTTTTTCACGTGTACACGCGTAGATTTAACTGACGGTATCATCATTGCCATTGTCATCCTCATCCTCATCATCATCACTGTCATGATCATTTATTAATATACTGTAGCCTCATCACTAGTAGTCTCCTTCGCAGCCGCTCGTGCCTGAGTCATGTAATGCCTCCCCCCATCCCCCCCCCCCCCCCTCCTCTCCCCCCGTGGGGGCGGGAAGGGGAGCTTGCGTGACCCCGGGCCGAGTGGCTGCGAAGGAGACTACATCACTAGTTCTGGTTAATATAGTATCATTAGTTAGCATGACCCCTTTTACATGTAAGCTGACCTCTCTTGTCATCTCAACTTGCATTGCGAATAAAAGGTTACTGGGCTTGAAAAACCATTTTAACATACTGTGTTTACAGCAAAGATCTGGAAGACATGACAGCTGAAAACACCAGGCTCACAGAAATCCTAAAAGTGAAGGATGAAACTGAAAGGAAGCAAGCAGGTACTTGGTTATTGGACTAGTTTTGTATTATAAAACAATGGTGTTACATGTAGGACAAAATCATCTTGAGCGGCATTTTACTTGGGAATGATAGGAATTTTTGTTATAATAGTTTTTCTATGCTTCCGCACAAGAAACTTGAACAGAATGACGGACAAAAGAATCGGAGACACCCCCTTAGAATGGCACCTTTTTCGCATAGTAGACATAATATCTATCCCTTCCCCCTGTGTAGTACCCCTCCCCCCAGTCAATGTTGTCTTTTAAACCCTCATTGAAGTTTTCAGCTACAAACAACATTGATTCAAGGGTGGGCAGTTGACGGCCTTTAAACAGAGTTATATGATCAATGAATGAAATTTTTGATTAAAGTGCGTGTTTTTGACAAGTGCGTCGAAAGCGCTACTTTAGTCATTGATTATACAATGTTAGGCCTAGACCAAATGACGAACCAAACTTAGTGAGTTAATTTCATGAACAGTTCGACGTCTGGCTCAGTTAAGTTTGTTTGAATGAGTTTGGATCGTTCTATACGTTCTGTCCGTCTGCATGAACCCAAAAGTTCATCAGTGACGTGTTTTAGATATATGTGATTGTGAAAGGTATGAACCCAGGAGTCATTTCAAAAGTAGGTTGAGTTTGATCATCCAGGTGAACGTAGTCATATGGGCGAATCTTTGTTTACACTTTTTGCCTCATTAACATATGCTTATCACTATCTGATGACGCTAATAAAATAAAAACTCTGAATATTGAAAGAGCATAACAGTTTCAGTTATCCCTGAAAATTTGAGCCCAAAACGCCGAATGGTTTCGGAGAAATTCTCTTCTGAAAACTCGAAATTTTACAGAGAATGTATGGCTCGTTAACTTTTTTGCCACACAGCAATTTCGCAGTTTTTGATTGCCGATATTTCTTTCAATATTGCTTGCAAAGAGCTGGAAATTGCACAAATTGCTCAACTTAATCAGCTCTTTCAACTTTTGCATTTGGTTCATATATACGGCCACGGCTTCTGTGAGTTAAGTCGTATGCTAATGAGGAAAAATGTAAACAGTGACGTCAGCAAAGATTCGCCTATATGTGACTGTTGAAAATGAGGTTGTAAAAACATGGAATGTTTGCCCTATAATGATACTGCTTAGCTAAGGAATTGAAGCTACAATGTTAATGTTAGTGAACTGCCAAGGGTGTTCGTGTACTCCGGTTATAGAATACAGTACGTCCTGACTCTCTAATAAGCTGCCCTCAACAATAAGCCGTGACAATACAAAGAACGGCTGTGAAGCAGACTATAATAAGCCCCCTCAAAAAAGACTTGAAAGACCCCTCGGAGAAAATTTAGTAAAATTGCTTTTTGGTCTGATTCAGTTGATTGGTTCGACGCATCCTAAGTTTGACGTCTGACCCAACAGACGATCTCAACTTAATTTAGGGTCGACCCAAATTAGAGTTAGGTTCGTCTCATGAAAAGTTCGACGTTTGGCGTAGGCATTAAGAATGTCATGATTTATGTTTAAAAATTCCAATACAGGTGTAATTACTAGCCTGAAAATGAGTATGTTTGAGTTCAAATGTATGCTTTCCACTTTTTATATACTCAGTATCTTTCAATACCATACCTGCCCAAGATTAATTATAGGAAGATGCATTTAAATCAAGGACAATTTTGATGCTTACCACATACGAATGTCCTGACAACCGGAGATACGTCTGCGTATCCTACAAGTACGCCCAAGTGTTCTCTTTAATTTGTTACCATGGGAAAATAAGTTACATTTCGCATAGGAATGAAAACTAAGTTTTGAAATTATGTAGGGTTCCTTTTTTGAGGTTTCTTTCTTAAATAAATTATTGTAAATGGTCTCTTTGTTTAATAAGCATGCTCCGTATTTATCACAATCGTCCTTGCAAGTGAATCACTGTTACAAAGTAGCCTATAAAGTAGACTGATCGTGAATCAAAATTGTGTTGAAAATTCATCAGTTTTATTTTGTTTTTGTTGTTCAGATGCTATAGCAAAACTGAATGCTTATGTTGAAAAGCAAGATGAGCAAGTTAGTAAGTTAAAGGTGAGTACAAAAAGTCACATTATTTTATTAAAAAGTCTTCAAATTTGCTTTTTAACCGGTCCGTCTTGAACGTACGCAGTGGTGAAGTTTCGCTGGGATTTTTTCATCATTATCTTTCCTATTTCTGTTTAGTATATACTAAAACTACAGTGGATAGTATTTTTCGAGCGCTCTGATTGGCTACTCAATCAGTGAATATTCTTCACTATTTACTGATTCACCTCCAGTTTCTCCGAGCGAGCGACGCCAAACTCACGTAAGTTGCGAGCAAAATGCCTTCCCGGTTTGCTGCTGTATTATAGGTTAGGTCTTTTGGCCTTGACCCCCACCCCACCCTACTTGGTAAGGTTTAAATTCTGGTCGTGTCACAGGATTTCGTATGCCTTCTTTCTCTCGTCCTTCCCTCATCGTTTTCTCGTTTTGCCTCTATTTTTCATTCGCTTGGCTTTGTACCACAAAAGAAAAACAGACCAAAAAAACCGCGTGTTGCGCAGGCTACACTAGCGTTTGGCCGTTTTAACTGAAGAAGCCGTTTACAACGGATCGTTATTTTGAAATCTTTAAATCTTTTTCCTCATCCGTTTTCTATGTGCATTAAACGTGTAGAGAAAGGTTAACCTATCCGTTAAAAAAATAGCTAGAGGTGGATATATACCTCGCTGCTTCGCAGCTCGGTAGTTATTAGCCACGACTAGCCATTTCCTCTTCGGTGAATAATTGTTATTTATTCTCTTTGGCTCAGAAAGAGCGTCGTTGGCCACAAGTTCAGTGAAACCAATTGTATTTGTGTAAAGATACTGAGTAATATTGTCTCGACCATTTTCAAGTTGATCTTGACCTTTGGAAACTTGATTAATTTTACTAGCATTAAACACTAACGTTTTTTAGGATGACAAATTAATGATTGCTTTATCGATCTATGATTCAAAACGTTTCCTTTCTGGGTTTTTTAGTCTGAGCTAGATGATTCAGCTGAGAAGATAAGAAGCATGCAAACTGCACTGGACAATGCTTACAAGTGAGTGGTGATATATAATTAGCACTTTTGGAAGCTAAGTGGAGGGCTTTAAATACAGTTTTCTTATAGGCACTGTGGTGATAGCCTGCGAAAACATCTGTTTCTCCTCGCTCTTCGCCGCCGGGGACGTTTCGCGAGGAGGAACGTCTGCGACTCAGCGACAGAATTTCCATACTGATGACGTAAATCAATGTTTACATAATAAATCCGGTAGTCATGGGGTTCCAAATACAAATTTGTCCAATTTTACGTGTCTTCTGGTCGATTTTGGTAAAGTGTTGTGTTCATCTGCCAACGAGCTCCAGCAAAGTCAAATGCTTCTTCTAGAGAAGACTATATTCCACAAATATTGACTGTTTTGTTAGATATTCTTCGCGTTTACATTTGACCTTTGTGGCCTTTTGTCTTTTGTCTGTCATTCGTAAACAATAGCTAAAACAATGTAACTACTCCGTCGACCAATCAACGAGTCTGACCGGATTCCGGAAAGATTTTACGTCATCAGTATGGAATTTCTGTTGCTGAGTCGCAGAGGTTCCTCCGCCCGAAACGTCCCCAGCGGCGAAGAGCGAGGAGAAACGGATGTTTTCGCAGGCTACTGTGGTGATAGCCAAAAGCGGTAGTACCCACTCGAAAATGTAAAGACTATGATTTAAAATCACGAATATCTGTTCAAAGCAACTCTCTCCATAGGTTAGGTCTTTTGGCCTTGACCCCCACCCCACCCTACTTGGTAATGTTTAAATTCTGGTCGTGTGACAGGATTTCGTATACCTTCTCTCTCTCGTCCTTCCCCCATCGTTTTCTTGTTTTGCCTCTATTTTTCATTCGCTTGGCTTTGTACCACAAAAGAAAAACACCAAAAAAACCGCGTGTTGCGCAGGCTACACTAGCGTTTGGCCGTTTTAACTGAAGAAGCCGTTTACAACGGATCGTTCTTTTGAAATCTGTAAATCTCTTTTCATCATCCGCTTTCTATGTGCATTAAACGTGTAGAGAAAGGTTAACCTATCCGTTAAAAAATAGCATGCGCTTTACGTTTGGATAAAACGTGTAGATGATTAGCCTGCGTTGCAGCCGGCCCGCGCACTCGTCTAAACTATACTGAAGGTTTAGAGCGTCTGCGACACAGGCAAGTAGATGGTTAGATTCTTCGTTTAACTTCCATCTGTTGAACAGCTTTTACCCAGAGCAAGCTTAGAAAGAAGTTTCTTGAGTTTCGAGTCCAGAGTTTCTGGTCGATAAATGTGTTAAGCTTGTCGCTTGACCAAACTGGAGAAACAAATTCAACAAACGGATCGCACTGTACGTAAAAGTTTTTTTGGTCGTCCGCCTCGAAGTTGTTATCCTTTCTAATCCCTCTCAGGGTTCTATCTAGGATTTATCGTGTGGGGGAGAAGTCCTGAGTGGGCGAAGGCGACGGGCTTCCTAGGGGTGGTCCGGGGGCATGCCCCGGAAATTTTTTGAAATGAATATGCGCTGAGATGCAATCTGGTGCATTTTGAGACACAATTTTGAGAAATGTTTCGGTTTGTGCACTGACTTCGTCGCATCTGGATGATTTTTCCGATATCTTTAATTATATACTGAAATGATAACAATATTATTTGGGGGAGGAGGGGGTGGGGGAGCTTCTACCCCTCAAATACCCTAGATAGAACCATGCCTCCCTCTTCCAATGCCGTTTTCAAAATACAAACTTTACTGGTGCAGTGCCATGGAAATGTCGTAGTCAATTTTAAGTATTGTAACGCTTTGAATTTATTTTAGACAACTGACAGACCTACATAAAGAAAATGCATCCAAAGATAGCGCCGTTCAGGTATGTGACTTTTAGTGCAACGAAAAACAACGCGATTGAAAATTCGCAAATGTCGGGTTACCATTTGAAGGCCTACTTGTCCATACACTTAAAAGTTGAATAACAATTTTACGACTGCAAGTTTTTAAATCAAGAAACCCCGTCCACTATTATACCTTCTTGGGTGAAAATGAATGATCTTTTCTTTGTTTTGTAGTATGTAGACTACGAAGTTTTGTTGTGTTTATTAGGAAGCAGCTCTAAGCGCTGAGATAAACGCTAAGGAAGGCTTAAGAATTGCTATGGAAAAGAAAGAACGGCAGTTTAAGAAAGAAATTGAAACTCTAGAATTCCAGGTAAGATTTGAAATTAAGTGGACCATCATCTGTTTTCTTTTATAGCATGTGTAGCACCCGTTCCCGTTTCCTTTTAGCCGGTCAAGCGAAGCGCGATTCTCTCCATGCCCTCGCGTGTCTCCCGCTCGTCGCCCTCGCGAAACTCGCATTTCTAACAGGAAAGCCAAACGGCGGCTGTTACGCACATTACTCATGATGTATATAGTACCGAACAGCTAAAAACTCCTTTCCTCGCTATTTTTGTTGAAAAATTCTGATTATAAAGTCAAAATTTACGAGCATTGTAGCGTCTATTAGTGTCTCACAGTCGTCTTTGGCGAATGAACATTAGAAATTTCGTTGTATTTGGTCAGCTATACCCCTTCAATTAAATAACATGCCGCAGCTCTCCTTGAGGAGGAACGGCACAGTATGACCCAGTAACAAGCCATGGCACCTCATTCAGATATCATCTAATATGCGCAAATTTCCACAATTTGCGCATTTCTGTTCTTTTAGTTTCTTCACACAAAAGCCGTAAAATATCTTTCAAGGAAAGGTTTTGAAAATGACTCTAATAAGCGCCACATTGTCAAGTAAATACGGTACTGTAGGAGTTTATTGATGGATTTTGTTGTTGTTTTTTCAATAGATAAGTGATCTTCAGACCAGTCTGCGACGCGGCGAGCAGCAAACCAACAGAAGAGAGGACAATCTTCGACAGGAAATAAGTGACATGCAGCAGGTATGTCATGTCAGATGCCATATAACCTTGGTATAAATTGCTATAAAGTGTTTACGAGTTTCAAAAAGGAATGAAACGTGTATAATCCTTCTGTGCTACTTGTCGCGACTCGTCTCAGTCCTCTGGGTGAAGCTTCCAACCCGGCAGCGGGAGAAATGTCGGATGGGTTGCTCCTTCACCTTGTTCCCCTAAAACCTGATTCTTACTGAATACAGCGCCCGGAAAAGATCACAAGACTAAATTAAAGTTATACAAGATGAAAATAGTTAGCCTGAATACAGACCCCACCTCCCCTTCTCCGATTTTTCCTGAAAGAAAAGGAAGGGGTGGCCTGTGCACAGGCTACAAAATAGTAAAATAAACATAGTAAAGTCTCACCATCGCTGGTTCTTTATTGTTAACCCTCTCAGTAACTGTTAGTTGTTTTGTTTGAACAGAGATTACAGGAAGCAGAATCTCGTAATCAAGAACTGACTGAAAGTGTTACCCATGGTATGTAGGGCAAAGCTAATTAAACCGCTGTTGACGCCTGTTGGCTCAATATTAGAAACCTTTAGACCTTTGGGACGATGACGACGAGATTTGACGCAACGTTTTTCGCGTGCTCTTCAAAAATTGACGTCCCGGAAAGCTTCATTTTATTTATTTATTTTTTTTCAAAAGAACAGTTTACACGGTCTCTTTTATTTTAGGGGTTGGGGAGGGGGGGATTAAGCCCTCCCCTGATCGCAAAATGATGAAAACTACGAATGTTTCATAACTTGTGTCCGTTATTACAATATTTTGGATAAAACCTGTAGTATAATGACGACGGCGATCACTTTTTCCGCCAAAATGACGCTGACGCGTGCGCAATACTCAGTATTGAGAAAATCACATTTATTACGCAAACTGAAGGACTCGAGGGTATTTCATTCAAATTCTGTTCTTGTAGAAAGCTGGAAAATAAAAATCCCCGAATTCAGACGGGACCGTCTTCTCTACGTGCTCTACGTGATCACGCAAAAGTCTTTCCGTCTGCAGGTCAAAGGCTTAACATTGTGGGATTTTCCGAAAGGCTCGTTGAAGATTTAATGTTGTATCGAACTGAAGAAGGGGAACTGAAAGGAGGGCTATCTCTTTTTAACATTTGTTTTCGTCTTACGCAGCTACCAGACCACTGTTGCGACAGATTGAAAACCTACAAAACAGCTATGGTAACCACACACAGACCTGGGAAAGAGTGGAAAGGAATTTGACGGACAGGCTTAGTAAGTGGAAACCTAACTATATTCAGAATATGTTGAAAGGCTACATTCTATATGTTTTTTCTCTTCTATTTTACAATATCCACAGTTTTGCAAACAGACCACACTCCTGGTAAGTATTTCTTATTTGGCCAAAGATTTAACTGTAAGTGAAGGAGGGGATCTGGCTTGCTGAGTTGTGGAAATGACAGAGAGCAGAAAAATATCGACCTTTTAGTCCTTCATAGTCCAGAATGATAGTAGTCCCTATAAATCAAGACGATTCGACGGGTAGTTTTGATTACATTGCACACTGAATAATGATCATTATTAGCTATCTGAGTTGATGGTATTGCTTTAAGTTATCTTTCTCTTTCTTTTATAGACGAGGCTCATTTTAAGGTATGCAATTGTAGCATACACCCAATAATGAACATTCGAATGGTAGTCGAGGTTCATTATCGAGTATTCGAGTGAATGTCGCTATTGATAATGGACCTCCTTTTGTAAGACAAGGCATATTACTAGAGCGTGATTTAGTCCCATAACCGATAATGCTCCTTCTATTATTAGATGAAGCTCAGATTCAACTAGCAGAGGCCCAAGAGAAGGAGCGAGTGGCAACAGAGCATGCGCTAGAACTGAACTCACGTTTGACTGCTGTGGAATCACAACTGTCCACATATCGGCAGGACAAGTCTCGACTCGAGGCTGCTTTGGAGGTAGAACGAGCGAGACTGGACACTGCAGAGGAAGCAAAAAGCAGGTAATTAACCTAATATTGACCCGATCAAGGATACATAAAACAGTCGGTGACTTTAAAATAAAAATTATTTATATTTCTCTCCAAAGAAAACGATTTTCTTTCGCAATTCGTTTTGTATTCTTTACCCCCGCCTGGCCTTATACGATTTCTTATACGAGGGAAACAGACTCAGAATAGTCTGATTTTCGCACAACACTCTCGTTTGACTATCAACAATGGGCCTTTATTCAAATAGCTAGAGGGGATAGGTCCACCATCTGCTTTTACTCCTCAGACGGTAAATTAGGAACAGAGTGGAGCGACTAATTCAGTGATTTTGTTACCTGTGCGTCCTGCGTCCTTGACGCATAAAAATCCCCAAAGACGCAAAATAATTCATTGCATGCGTGCCTAAGACGCAAAGAATGATCAATCGATGGTGGCGTATTCTGTTTGTGTGTTTCTGTGGCTGTTGTTTAAAGATGCATATTTATTTTAGTCTCTTTTGTGCTTTAACTATATGGAAGGGCTATATTTTGATTTCAGTAAACTGTAATAAAGAGTTTTGTCGTCTGTCTCCATATACTGTTTGGTTACATCATGGATAATAGAAAGACTGGTCTTTCTATTATCCATGGTTACATAAAGGCCCAAGCATTTTCAGTTTAGAACTCCTTTTTTTTTGGAACTGGGACTCATTGGTTATGAACATGCAAAGACTCGTGATTTTTCACAAGATGAGTCCTAAGACTCACCATACTATTTTTAACAAAATCTCTGATGATGATGATGAACCAGCTATTCAGGTATTCGATATAATTATTGCAAATTGCACCGTGAAAATTTACCTGTCTCCTCATCGTCAACATCATCGTTTATAGAGCGTTTTGGCACCATATTGGTGTTCCAAAACAGTGAAACGGCGGCCATGTTGGTGTACCAAGACAATCCTGGGGAAGTTGAATTCTTTTCTTACGCAAACGCTTTCTTTTGTTCCCTTAAATTTGCATAGATGCTGGCCACGTGAGGGAAAACGGTCTATTGTATTGATTATAACTATCGTCATCATCATCATCGTCATTGAAGGATACCTGTTGATGCGGAGGACATACAATTTTTTTCCATTTCAAGACCAAAAGGCCAATTTGGCCAAACTAAAACTAATAAAAGTTTATCATACGCAGTAGTTCCGACGGCTTCACATATGTTCTACTTCCGTTGGTGCAAGGAAATCCATATTTAAACTGATAACTCAGTCCCAGTGGTATCTGCTTAATGCCTTTTGCTTTTGTCTTAGGGAAGCTGCTAGAGTAGAGACGTTGGAAGTCAAATATCGAAAAATGATGGAAGATAACAACGTGGAAAAGGTAAGGCGTAGCTTTGGCGAGTTCTTTGGCGACGACCGTGGCGTTCCAGCGAAACCTCCATAACTTATTTTTTGAAAATAAAATTGCTATCAAACCCTTTACAACAAGGACAGCGGACACTGAAGACGAGTTTAGTCCACTCGGAGGTAGATTGCGTTGCAATCTTACGCAATCCCTCGATAAAACTGACGCCTCTCTCTAATCGACACTTGTTCTTGTGCCTTTGATGTCCGCTTTTAAGACGTAAAGGCCTGACATAGGTTATTGAATAAATATATTGAAAAGGTCGACGTCCGACGTTGTCTTGGGATTTTATGCCGAAGGGTTTCATTTGAAAGATCACAATGTTAAAAAGGGTGAATGACCGGCCGGTGTTTTTTTGTTTTTGTTTTTGTTTTTTTTCAACAAATAGTGCAAGGGAAAAACTGAAGTTGCGTGTTGTGATCTCGTTGTTGTTGTTGTTGTTGTTAATGTTTCTTCTTATTGTTATTACAGGCGTTACTTGAACAACAGCTGGCTGTGGAGAGGAGCAAGGTGGAAACAGAGAAGAAGAGGTTTCAAAATGCCCTGGATGAAAAGGTAGTTTTAGTAATTATCTTGTTTCTTGATTTTGAC